GTCAATAGTTTACGAGTAATTAACAAAAAACGAAAAAACAGTTTTTTGTAAATTACTCGTTAACTATTGACGCTAGCGAAAAACTTTTACATGGAAATTGTAGATCTCGTCGTCCTCTACAAGAAGGTTAAAAGCAATTTTTCCGTATGTCCAACGGTTTGGGAGTTATTGGCCAAAAACGAAAATTTGGAAGAAATTGAAGGGGTACCCCTTGGAAAAATCTCGGAAAAATCGAAATTTTTTTTTTGTTGTTTATTATTAGCAATGTTTTTCCGACGTCTGATTTCTTTTTAAAAAATGCGTTTCTAGAGTGCATAAACTTTTGGGATTGACTGTATAGCCAATACATCCTTAAGACGGTTTTAAATCCTGGCGAAGGCAGGACACCAATGAAACTACTGACTTTTACCAGAAAGCCTGGTTCATCAACCGTTTGCACGAAAAAACTCATAGCTATCTCACAAGTAATTCTTACGATTTCGTTCGAGCCCTGAACGTAGTTACTATCTCTACCTGTACGAGGGAGACGAAGTTCTGTTTGTCTTCCGGCACTCCGCCCCGTGATCCCGGATACTCCCAGTCCAGATCAAACCCGTTGAAACCGTACTCGCTGAAACAGAAATCAAATATTCGTCGCTCGAACGAATCTGTCAGGGAAACGAGATCGTGTTCGGGGTCCGGTCTGATCCGTGGATCCCCTTGGCTCCGAAGAAAAAAATTCCTACCCAAGGAAATTGACCACGCTGTGGATAAAGCTGCTTCTTCGCTCGGGAGACGAAACGAGCACGGAGTAATTCTTGCTGCCCTCGTTCCATCCTCCGATGGCAAGGAGTACGTTCAAATGGGGATACCTCTTCCTCAATTGGGTCATCTTTCTGTAATTACCGATTCCTGGAACATTATGAAACAAAACGATGCTCGATGTTTATTGTCATGGACGTAGGAACAGCACAGAGAAGATAATGTAGATAATTTATCGATATCGACGATTTCTTAAAACTACTATCGTACAGTATCTAGATGTTCAGACGTAAATAGTTTTGAAAGAATAAACGCAGCAGTTTCCTGATCTCGCAAAAAATTCTCAAAGGACAGAAGTAGCGCTCGATATAATTTTTTTACTTGCATCACTTTCGTGGGTAGCTCACCGTTCTCGATGTCCATGCCAGGATCCAGGCTCCTGATGGTCCACGTTGTCTCGTTCAGTCCGGCGAACGCGTACACGAGATGAGTGCAAAGTTCCGGCCGAATATTGTCGATCGTGAACTTTCCATTGTTCGGCCTGTAAACGGCCCAGGTGGCGACGTAACAAGTCACGACCTTTTTATGTTTGGACCTCGCCGAAGCTTGAGAAATAAATTAATCATCGTTGAAACATAATGCTTGAACACTGCGTGGATGCTCGTCGGACGATTTCACGACATATTCTGCGTATGGCGTGTACTCTCCACGAGGAACGAAGTTAAAACGAAGGTCTCGTCTGCGGTAAATGTCAGACTCGCATTGCACAAGCTGTATCAAAGGAAATGTCAAAGGCGTTCCAATCTTATCTCATTTCCATATTGTGACGTGTCATTGATATTAATGGGTCGGGATCGAGTTAAAGGACGAGATCTGCTATTCCAAGAATGTCGCAAAATTATTTCAGAGTTTATAAATTATTAAATGTTTGAATTGGTTTGTTTTCGAACGAGGGAGAACAGTGAACACGATTTGAAAAGTTTGTTCGACGAACCGGATTGTAATTTCGAACATCAATGCTTTCGCTGTACGCGTCGATGAGCGATCTCGATTTAATTAAACGTAATATTTAATGTATACCATGTACTCACTCGAAGTGCCACCGACACTGAGCAGTAAAATAGCGAGCAGAATCAGAGAGCCACACACCTTCATCGTGGAGAACCGCTAAACGAATGCGGTGTTATTGCCCTGGTAGATAGCTTTCACTCGACCGCAGTACAGTATTAGCTCTGTCCTCGACGGACAAAGGATACGTGGTCGTGCTTCGTTGTTTGAAAAAGGATGGAACTGAAACCTGTTACCCACGATTCACGTATGTGCGGTAAAATATATGGAACCTCGGTCCATACTTAAAACTCTTAACGCCCATCGCTATTTTTCGTATTTTTCTACCATGCCAGAGATCAGCTTCAGTTCAGTTCGATCAGTTAATTGTCTGTCAAAACGTATTGGAAGGTGAATGAATAAAGAACCTCGAAGAAATATTTTGTAATTTATCCAATTCAAATCGCTGGAAGCAGAGACGGTAAACGTTTTATAACGGAGCATTGTACTGGATTCGGTTTTTAACGAAGTGCTTAATAATAACTAATTAAATGAACCATCGAGCGTTCAAGCGAAACGAAAAAGAAAATGTAAGTGAACGATATCGAAGCACCGATGTTGAGCGCCCAAATTAAAAATTTGTCTCCGTCAATTTATTAATCGGAATTATTTATTTCTACAATACGTTAGACCTGAAATGGATGAAATTGATTTCAATAGAAGTTATGTTCTCGGTGTCCGGATTTGTTTTTATTCATTCATTAATCAGAATTAAATCAGATATTTTCTTCAACATTTGCTAACGCGTATTCGTGTATAAAAATCTCCAAGGAGAACGAGCCTTCTCGTGAAAAGGTAAAATACTGAATTTAAATCAAATCGACATCTCTAGCTAGCTGTGACGTCATTAGCGCATGCCTTTTAGAAAAATCCCACTGAGTTTTGGGGTTGCTCGTGGCGTCATCTAACATTCATGGCTGTGAACCTGCTTGACTCCAATATGTACGGCAATATTTTTGCAGCCATGAACGCTAGATGGCGCCACGTGCATAACAATATTAATTTTATTGACGGAACTGACGTAAAAAAGTATCAGTCTCGCAGTTGAGCGCAGCGCAGCCGCGTCGCATACTGTGGGAAGAGATTTGTTTATTTTGAGTTCGTATCAGTTCGTATTATGCCAGTTATAATTATTACCGGCATACCGTGCAGTGGTAAAACTACGCGAGCTTCTGAATTGAAAGAATATTTTGTAAATAAGGCAGGAAAACATGTAGAAATTATAAACGAAATTAATGTCGTGAGAAGAGCAGGTTATGACAGGGACACATTTTACAGTGGTTAGTTTTACGTCATCACAATTATTTCGATTCGTTACGTCGTCAAAGGTGCAAAAAGATGTTGAATCAATACTGGTCCGTCGAGCGACACGAACTGAAAATATCGTTGTCACACAACCCTTTCTCTAAATTGCTGCTGTACCTGACGCTTCGTATTACTTCCATGCCCACGTGAGCACCAAGTTTTACCTAATAGATCTGAAAAAATTCAATTAGATTCGAGAAAGGAGAAAAGCGTGAGGAGCGACGTAAAGTCAGCGGCACAACGACTGTTGAATGCAAACGACGTATTAATTATTGACGGGAGTAATTACATCAAAGGATATCGTTATGAAATCTATTGTATGACAAAACTGTACAAGACTCCTCAGTGTACCATATTTTGCGATATTCCGGTTGAACATGCCTGGTTATGGAATGAGAAACGACCCGATGACGAACGATACGGTAGAGATATCTTTGACGCACTCGTAACGAGGTAGTCGGCAGTATGCTTGATTGAGTAGAATAATTTTCGAGATACTGTAGATAAGACTTTTTGAAATACAGGTACGAGGCACCGGATGATAGAAATCGTTGGGACGCGCCCTTGTTTGCCACGGCGCCGGAGGATGAATTGAAGTTTGATGAAATTTATAAATCACTGTACGAAGTAAAAGCACCGAGGCCCAATTTGAGTACGCAATGTGTTGGTATCGACTCGAATCAGAGATTGAAATTAATATTGATCTCTTTCATCTATTGAATTGATCGAAAAAACACGATTTTTCAGCCACCGTTGTCTTCTACGAACTATTTATACGAACTGGACACGGTGACTCAAGAAGTTATCAATGTAAGTTGCGATGGAATCGCTTCGGTATCTCAGTGCGTTTTTGAAGTTCCTATTCTTCTTTTTTTCTCAAGGCAATATTGGCAGCGAAACAGCTGGGCATCGAGAGCGAATTTAAAATACCAGGGCATAATTTGACTGTACGGAATCCATGTACTGCGGCGCAACTGATGAGATTACGAAGACAATTTTTAACTTACAGTAAAATGCAACAAATTGAAATCGATCAGATAGCATCGTTGTTTGTACAGTATCTGAATAAAAGCGTATAAATCCAGAACACGTATCGACATACGTCAAGACCTCGTCATCCGGTAGAAGTAGTAGGAGGTGTGTCAATTAAATTTCCAAGAGGTGTGTCTCGTTTTAATAAAAAATTATATGGATACATTGGGCTTAACTTATATTATAACAATTTTGGCCTGCACGTATTCCGTGTTGCAAAGTAAACTTGTTACACTTGTCATATTATTTAATTCTTGTATCACAGAATCATTAATTATACAGCGTCTTGAGAAGAACGATGTTTGTGCGAATTACATTATCAGACGTTCGGAAACAAAATTACAAGCAGTCAGCGATACGATTACCTAAAATCTAACAATTGTATTTGATTTGTAATATACCTCGTGAAGATGAAGTAAGGCAACGTCGGTTTATAGGATGAACTCGATGGTAAATAAAATTCAACATTTTTAGAATTGGTAAATATCAAACGAGAGGTACGTTACGTGCAGCGTGTAACAAGAGTTTCTTTTATTTCGTATTCGTTACGATATTTGACCAGCGACCGTAAATGACGTGCTGAATCACAAACGTTCGAATCAAAATAGACTAAGCCGTAAAACTGTTACCAGTGGTCAGATAAAAGTCGCTGTTTGCAAATTTGAAATAACTTCTGTCGACGTTTTAAAAAAATAATCGCATCACTTTATTTCGTCTCCAACTTGTTCACAGAGCCGTTGCGTCAGCCAGCCCGCTTACACACCGAAATAAACCTCTCGATGAAAAAATAGTAGTTCAACGATCAACTACGTATATTCAATTAAAGACTTTCACTTCGTTCCTTCCTTCTAAATTTTCTCAAATCCACCTAGTATTGACTCGGTTTCACAAAGTATAACAGCTTTGCTTTCGTAATAATGAACTTATTGTACAATGCATTTACAGTTACATCAATTTTTCTTAAAAATCAAATACCAGGGGCCGTCGTCGCCGATCATTAATTTTCTTGTTCTTGCATACCGTTACTTTCCGAGCCATTTCTGTGACTCACGTCGTTGTCTATGAGCCTCTTCGGTTTTCGACAAACGAAATACACACTATTATACTCGCACTGCAGCATACTGTTGATATTCTGTGCGTATCGCGTTTTCACGCACAGTTTTTCTTTCTGAAAGCACGACGACACGATTAACGATCCGATCGATATTCAAACGATATTTCGTATCGTTTACGAACAGTTCTTACTTCCAATTGAAATCCAAAACCTTTGATTACGTCGCGAACGACCTCGAAACTTGGCTCTATCGAATCTTCCATCGGCATATCGCTGAAATGGTACAGCAACGGCCCAAGATTTATCCACACGCCTCCTGGCTTTAAAATCTTATAGATAGTCTCGATGAATTGCACCACATTGTTTGCGCAGTCTATAAAAAAACATGTGGCGACGCAGTCCCAGTGATTATCTTCCGTGTAAACCTGAATGAAAAAATCGGATCTTTTAAGAATGCCCGCGTCACGCTTCTTTCCGTCGCGTGTTCTCTCGGCGCGCGTTGGTTACCTCCAAGAAGTCTCCAGCCGCCATCGAGAACTGTGCGTTCTCCGGAAGATTGCTGGGATTCACGTCCGGGAAGAACACGGCTTGAGTCTGATGTTCTGGTTTTAAATTGTTCATGTACTGATGCACCCACGGGTGTACCTGATACGAATTTACTTCCCTGCATCTTCAAACCATGCCGTTAGTAAAACAAAAAACAAAAGGACCGACGTGGGACGTGGCATTCGTCGGGGACAAGAAAACCTTTACTCACTTGTTCAGTACAAAATGAGAAGCGAAGAGCATGAATAAAGAAAATTCGTTTCCTTGGCAAGTGTACCCGCGCCGCGCTATCTCGTACGCCAATCTCCCCAAACCTGCTCCAGGTACCAGAATTTGTACATCCGACGGCGTACTGGAAATTTACCTATCGTTTCATACTTTTCTGAACTATGCTGTCTAAGTCCGTAGGCTGTTCGACATATCTACTATTTAGGTCTCGCCTACTGAAACGTGTCGTTGTCGTTAGAAAAGTTCGTACCAATGCTCCCCGGGGAACTGCTCCACGATCTCGTCTATGATAGGCTGATAACAAGCTAAACGTTCCTCGGTCCCTTCCACGCTCCAATCGCGAACCAGTTGTTTGATCGTGGCTTGGACTTTTTCTTGATCAGCCATTACTGGACGGGGATTTAACGTCTGCAATCAGACCTACCTATATTTTGTACAATAAAATACGATTTTACAAAAAAAAGAAGCTTGTGTCGCAGTGACTGATAGAGAAAAGATAACAGGTAAGATCGTTTTCGTTTGCGATACGACACGGCGCAAGATTCTCACGTCGAACACACGAGTCGTTTCTCTCAACGATGCTAACAGTAAGGATGATTGAACGGCTTCTAGTATCGACTAATGAGACGATACAAATTATTCTGGTGACAATGCTTGTATGAATGTATTTCATGTACGTTCGATGTATGCGGTTGATAGCAAATAGTGTATCGTATTGTACAACAGAATATACGTGCCACACACCAGGTAAACTTTTCTTACACTGTCAGTCTGGGAAGTAGCTGGGCTCACGTTTTCAAAAATATGAGCCACATCCTTTATTATTAGCTTAATTATTTCGTCGTTGTTCTCGATGCATCGTTTAACTTCCTGCAGATGCTCCCTGTACTTTGACAAAAGCTTCTGATGATGAGCAGGAAGCGACAGCAAGTAGGACTCTGTCTTTTTCACCCTTAACAGGGAATGATTCCTGTAAAAGAAAGAAAAGGAAATGCGACGTGAGTGTTTAGACTCGGCCGAATCACTTTGACAAATCTGAAACACGGCAAGTGAAACGTTACGATTCAATGTCATATCGTTGAAGGTTAAGTTGACGATAGTGACAGACTTATCAACGAAACTTGCGAACGACACTTTACGAGCTAATGATAACTGTTAGTGGCCGATGCATGACAAGCGAAGGAACGATAGACGGAATAAAAATACAGACGAGAAATCGAACTCCGTGCATCGGAAGGGAACGGAATATATATCTTTCCCTTTACTTCTCTCTTACGATACGTACTTGTAATATTTAAAAGCCGAGACGATGCGTTGAAAGTGTTTCCTCTCCTCCTCGTCTTCGTAAGAGTCGTGCATTCTTTTCGGATAAGGTGTTGACATCGTTTCCATTTTTATTTTCGAACGTGAACCTCGGCTTAAATTTTAATGAGTTTCTCAGCACGACGTTCGGTGGCGGCTTTCTTGGTGCACGCGTTACGACGCGTCCGCAACGATCGCGATAAATCGTTTTTCAAGGCGGGTTTGTCTCGTTTACATTTTATTAACATCGAATTAGATTAATTGTTAGACATATAATAATGTATAAAAATTTCCCAGTGAACTGTCCGCCGTCGTACGCATCAACCTGCGGTTTAAAAATCAACAAACACGAACGATATTTTAACAATCGAAAAGATTTCGAGGAAACCTAAATACATTACGTGTGTGTATATGTATATATGTATGCATGCATATGTTCTAAATTCTAAAAGTCGTACAAACTTTGCGATTGATCAGTGAAATGCATTATATCGTTTGCCGAAGTTGAGGAAACGTATCGTGACGTAAAGACTTGATCGTTACTCGAACGAAATTCGTTGAGGAATTGGAAACGGTGCCAGGGTGGCGCGTATCCGCAGAGTTTCTATATGTAAGTAGATGGACTGGTTGTACATAGGACATGGTCGTCCTCGCCATTTTTAAAAGGAGATTCAGTCGCTGATCAACCGCGGTTGGGCACGTTGCTCGGGTCTGGGTCAGCTTGGTCTCCAGGGCCGCGAATAATCGCGTCGTTACATCGAGATACGGCCGCGACTACTTTTTCCGCGTACAGTGTCACCTGAAATCGCGGCGTTCCCGCGATGACGACGGCGTAAGCGACCTCCCCCTGTGTGTGGTTTCTCCTCGTCGAGGCGTGCGACGCGCAGGGTGCTGGTGGTGGTGTTTTAAAAAGTATCCGTGCCAGGCGAGAAACGCAACATGTCCAGTTTGCCGCAAATGTCCAGCGGGCTGAGCAAGCTTAAAAAGAAACATTTCCGCGTTAAGCATCAGAAAGTTAAGCTGTTCCGCGCGAACGAACCGCTCCTCAGTGTTTTCATGTGGGGTGTCAATCACACGGTGAGTAAATGAGTATTAGCTGGCAATGAGTACAGCGACGAAACTGCGTGATGCGTGACAGCGTCCTCGTCTCGTACGTCATCGTATAATGCCATTTTCCTGTTTCGTTCTAATTGAAAACCGAATTAGAATTGGAAATTTGTTGACACGATTCGCTGCAACTAATTCACGTTCGTGCGATTCCGTGCGTTATTCACGACATAGTAGAGCATCGTGAATCGTAAACGCGCGTTCGAAATGTACCGAATTACGCCACTCTTCCTTCGCTCGTGGTGATCCGTTGAATGCCCATGGATTATAATGTTTCACGTTTATCGGGTATAAGAATGAAACTCGACGATTTCTTATCGCTGTGAGATATAAGTTACGTTCGGCGTATGTTCTGTAACGAAGAATCGCTGGTCGATCTCGTTCGTACGTGAAAATGTGCGAATGAAAACTCCCGTAGGTAACTTATTATTATGTTTATCTTCTGTGACATGAGACGTCAGTCGAGTAAGTAAGAGTTTCATTAAAAAAGAATATTGATCAGTTTTGTTTTCAAGCTGGTCTTACGTTTCTGTGAGTCGAGCGTTAAATAATATATGCAATTGGCCGTGTGTTGCCGATGTTCGCAACGACAATTAGTTCATTCATGAATATTAAGCGATTAATATATTCCAGATAAACGAGCTTAGTCACGTTAACATACCAGTAGTGCTCCTGCCAGATGATTTCAGAGCTTACAGCAAGTTAAAAGTGGACAATCATCTTTTCAACAAGTGAGTTACGTTACGATTGTTGTTCAACAACGTTTGATCACGTGTCGCCGTCTCGGTCTGAAGTCGAGGAAAATTGTGTAGAGTAAATTAGGAGAGAAATGATAAACACGTAAATAATGGTCAACGTTGGACCTAGTCGCGGCAGTAATGTTCTGCCTAATGTAAGAAAGAAATTGCTATTGTAAACGTAAAGCAAGCAACTGAGGTGGCCTGTTCTAAATATATCGCTAAATACTGAATTAGTAGGTTGGTCACTGCTTTTAATAATAGAATCAATGAAGGTCCTCATGATCCAAGATTATAGTTCATGATAAAAGATGTTGTAGCTTCACCTCCTAATTTAAAAGACGGTTGACCGTTTTCTCGACTACTTACCTTCTGACGATGTTCGCGCATCACAATTCTTTTTCTTCTAGGGAGAATATGCCCTCTCATTTCAAGTTTAAAGAGTATTGTCCATTAGTATTCAGAAATTTGCGGGAAAGATTTGGTATCGATGATTTGGACTACAAGGAATCGATGACAAGGTAAAAGACAATTTATTTTCAACCTATGTACAAAGTTCATTAGAGAAAATCATTCAAAACAGTATAGTTAAACGAAACTTCATTTTGATCGCGGTGCATGCTAGAGACCTTCCGTTCTACGTAGAAGCTTTCTGTCGAATTTATTCTAACTACAATGCAAACGCTCGCGCGCGCACACACACACACCACACACACATATATATAAAGTTGTCCACACGTATTACTGTAATTTGGCGGTAAATGTTTCTTTGCTCATCCCGCTACGCGGCACGTTTACTTATTTATAGAGGACATTGCAGATTTAGGGGCTTTACTCGATACTGCCTTGAAGGAGGATAATTCACCGACTGATCGTAGGCAAATCGTTGTAATTAAAAATCTAATGGTGTTTGAAAACAGTTCTGCACTGAGATAATATCATAAGAGATATTTTCCCGTAAAGTCAGTGAAACCTTTCGTTAATATCGAATTGGACATCTCGAATATTTCTATCGCGCATCAAATTGTCAGTTTAAAGAAACAAGGAAACGTAATATCTACTTTTTGTAATTCACCGAAGATTTCGATGCTTCGTAATTACCAAGTAATACAATATCGACGGTGTGACTAATACGTTTGTGAATACGAATGCACTTTTATGTCAGACATGCACAGAAACAGAAGTTCCTTCATTTCTTTGTAGCACACACAGAGAGCAATGTATCTTTTGATGTTCATTGAGCAGAGGAGAGCAGCTGTTGGCGGTAGATTATAATGGAAGAATTCTGATAATAGATGTCGGGCATTTAATCCATCCCTGTCAGAGAGGCATCGGGATTTGGCTAAGAACGGGAAGACTTGTGAATTGGTTCAGCGTTCCGCTACTGCTCCCTCGATTACCCTGTCTCCTTCTGTTCTTTCGCAAATCTCGGTCCTAAATAAACCATTACGTTCCTACGGTTTTAAACCGAAGCGTCTGAGGTTAGCTAGACTTGATTTTTCAATTTTCTGCGTGTCGCTTGTGGCTAACAACACGGTCTCCGTAAGATCTCCCTTGAACGATTCAAAGGGACTTGTGAGTTTGTCGAAATGTCGAGTCGTACCGCGATGCCTTTAATTAAACCTGGTTCCTGGACCGTTCCGAATGTAAAAACGCTTAATAGAACGTATCCCTGGCTAGATTTTAGTATTCGTAGTCCGACTACATATCAGTGGAACATATGTAGGTAATAACGTTAATACGGTTTATTACGGTTGATCGTTAATCGTTCTTTTTGTACGCATGCTAACAAGTGTAGTGGGTGTAGTTTAATGCCGTTTAGACTGTAATAAAACTAGGCAAGGAGAGACAGATTGCGAATGAACAATTTGTCATATTTTTGTATCTCATTGTTTGTCACGTGTGATTTTTATCTTTTCCAGATCGCAACCGATATTAGAAGACTCTTCTGGTAAAAGTGGTGCAAAATTTTACCAATCGTATGACAAGTTGTTCATCATAAAGACCCTTACCAGGGAAGAAGTCGAGAGGATGTATTCGTTTTTGAAACACTATCATCCGGTAAATAGGAGTTAATACCCGTTAATAATGTGTGTACTCTCTTGTGAGACACGAGACTGACGATTTCTTGTACTCGTAGTACATTGTGGAGAGGCATGGAAAAACCCTGCTACCCCAATATCTCGGCATGTATCGTTTAACGGTAGACGGAGTCGAACACTATGTCGTGGCAATAAGGAACGTGTTCTCCAATCATTTAACTACGCATAAGAAGTACGATCTGAAAGGGTCAACGGTAGACCGCGAAGCATCGGACAAGGAGAAGGAGAAAGATTTACCAACGTATAAGGACAACGACTTTGTCAAAGACGGAACGAAGATATATATCGGCGAGGAGGCGAAGGCTAAACTTATAGAGACGTTGAGTGCCGACGTGGACGTGAGTCCTCTTTCGTTTCTTTCGTTTCGAAACCTCATGCATTGTTATTTTATTCATTGAGCAATCGACATTGACAGTTTTTGACGAAGCTGCACTTGATGGATTACTCTTTGCTACTCGGGCTGCACGATTGTGCGCGAGCTGAACAGGAGAACAGAGAGCGGGCTGAGAGAGAAGAGGAAGAGGAGCACGAAGATGAAGATGACAGCGAGTCCGGTAGCGGCCTCGAGTCGCGGGGTCCGATGGGAGAGTACGTATAACGGTCGCGCAGCGTCTAGCCGTAGAATCGAGATCGGTTAAGGACGAAACGTGTTTTGTACTACGGATTTTAATGGTAAACGCACTGATGTCGACGATACCTATTTTCGTTCTGCAGCCGTTCATGGGGTTGGAGCGGCGTCGCTGGGATGGCAACGCCGCCTGAATCGCCACACACCGCATTGATGCGCGACACGAGCCTGCAGTACGAGGACGCGATAATTCCTGAATTAGATATTTACGCGATTCCGAGCAAAGAAGGTAATTCCTTTAGGATGAACGAATTCGAATTCGCGCTGACACCCGGATCTTCCTTACTTCTGTTTCAGGCGCCCCTACGAAAGAAATTTATTTTTTAGCCATAATCGACGTGCTGACACATTACGGCGTGCGTAAGCAGGCGGCGAAGGCAGCTAAAACGGTGAAGTATGGTGCTAACGTCGATGGTATATCGACCTGTGATCCGGAACAATACGGCAAGCGATTTATAGAGTTCATGAGCAAGGCCATAGAATAAGCTCGTTGTTCGTTGTTGTTAAGCTTGTAAATTTGGAGCCGCTTCTTCGAAAGTTGTGACGATACACTATCGCTTTTATCTCGTTCGGGTCTTTCTTTTTTTCTTTTCCAAGCCGCGTCGAACGAACCTGAATCGGTTTGTTCGTCGCGTCTTCGACCGCGGAAGATCTTTTGTATTTGGTACCGTCGTTCGGTATCGTTCGATCATCTCAGTATTCCTTACGACATTTACGATCAATTTAGGAGGATAAAGGAACTTTCGAGGTAGTCAGCCGTCGAAATTGTTTCTTTCAACCTCTTTACAACGGAACGCGTTTCATTTTGTTCATTTTGTTCATTTTTATATGACCGGCGACCATTCGCTCTTAGTGCATTGCGTACGACCTTTTTGCGAATGCAACGTTGTTGAACATTATGGTTTACTCTATTAATTTTATCCGTATTTATATCGAGAATCTAAACTGCGAGACTTACGTTAGGGTACGCTGTGCATTATGTGTACAAGCGCAGGGACGTGGCGCGGAAGGTGTCCGTTGAAGAAATTTGTTGTACATAATCGTTACTTGCGGGGCGATAATCGATGTTGTACTCAAAGGAAGCACGTAACGAAGCCGCTTCGTATACGTGTATTTGTTGATACCTACTGTTCCATTATATCAAACACCGGCGTATGATACGTGCGAAGCTGACAAAAACACTTCGAAACGTTGACATTGTTTTTTGTACACACAATGCATTGCAAAGAAACTGCGTTAATTACCGTCGTTTCACAGTATGACGGCGTGTAATGCTAGTTTACCGAGAAATACTATAATTAATGTTGATGTTACATATGATAATCTTAAAAAAAAAAAGGAAAAAAGGCAAAAAAAAGAAACACGAAGCACAGTGAAGCGTCTCTTCACAGGAGAAGTCTACGTCTATTGCAGAAAAGAGAGAGAGAGGCTCTCTCCGAGTTAAGACGAGTCTGTATTGCTTCTGGTCCAGTGTCCGTGGTGTTATCCTGGAATGTTTCGAATGTTCGACTTTAGAGTAATTGCTTTTCCAACAAGAACTCTCGTTTCCCACAGTTCGTAAAGAACCATACAGAAAAAGTTGAGAAGTATTATGTCATAGCGCAGGAGGTACTATAGAATGAGAGCTTGGAGCTTGAAACGAGAAGGGAACGAATGATTACGTGTAAAAGCGTCAAAGGGTCTGTAGATGTCATCTATCGTTTCAGTTACCGCGAATCGGTGTCCTTCACCATCGATTCGTCTTAGTTGATCAAGTGTACAGGGAACAAGACGAGTCATATGTTTTATGCACGATTCGTGTCTCCTCTATCAAAGATAGCCAACGATTCGTTTGCGAAATTCAGAAGATAATAGTCTCCTTTGTGCGTTGAGAATAGAACGTTGATTCGTGTTGTTACGCTTGAACGAGTGAGCAAAGCCAGTTTGCTGATAGCATATTACTTTTGGTAACTGTAAAAAGAGAAGCAATGTAAAACGTAGCGTTCGATTGCGTTTCGGCGCAACTAGGTGCACAAGATCTTGATTACTGGCTTCGGGAAAAAACGATATATTTCGTAGCAACGCTCGTCTCTTAATTCGATTGAACTTACCTAGTTACGGATAGTTTCTAATACAAACCGTATTTTAGGATCGTAAAACGAAGAGGAAAGAAAGGGAGAATGCATCGTCGCATAACGCTCTACTTTTGACGAATCTAATAATCGATTTTTTATAATTTGTTAAAAATTGATCATAATATAATGACTAATTACTTTACTAATTAAGGTATTCATCTAGTCTCGATACTTTGTATGATTTTGTACGTTGCCGACAACATTGGGAGAATAACGATGATGAAGAAAAGATGAAAAAAAAAATGAAAATACAACCGATATTGCCAAGACCTGTATTATAAAGAGAGAAAGCAATGAACAGTGGAAACAAATATCGCTCAATTCCGGTGTAACGTTATACTTTCTATGAGATGAAACGTAACTCGTTCTGTCTATCATAAATTATAACGTACCGTTATGCACTAACAGGTTTCTTTAGACGTATATTTTTTTCTCTTTTTCCTATTTCGTTCGCACGACTTGCAAATCCAGAAAATGAATTCAAAGTCCTTAGTTTAATCAAGAATCTTTAAGTATACAATTTAATGAGCCATTTGCTCGGTTGGATCACGGAAACGAAAATAAAAATTTCGAACGTTTCTCAGCTTAGACTTTCACAAATTCGCACCCCGTGTGAGTAGAGAAAAATGTATATACTCTCGGCTGAACCGCTGTTGGCAATATGTGTCCAGGCTTCTGTCGTCCTAACGTTTGTATCATTTACAGAGTCTGCGTTGTATGAGCCACAGGAAAATGAAATGGACATTTAACACGATAAGAATATGAATAAAAGAGATATTAGGAAGGATGGTACGTTGAACTTTATTCTACGATTTGCTGTCATGAGATCAATGTTATGAGAAACAAAATTGATGCAGCAATGATAGCTTTTGAACAAAAATTAAAGTGCTTTTTTTATAACTAAATTAAACAAGATACACGCATTTCATCTGAAACTATAAACAAACATATACTAAATATTGCGATCGTTAAAGTAAAATCGATGGGTTTAAATTATACTTAAGGGCGTAATGCTCGGTAAAACGTTATATTCGGGGCTTTTTCGAACTGTCTTCCGAATTTGCCTCGGAAGCAACATTTTTCTCCGGGCTCAAGTAACCGCTGCGTTTCCTTCTTGAAACAGGCGAAACTTGTTTCAAATGCTCCATATCGTTGAACACGACCTGCGCACCTCCCCCACTGGTCGGCAGTATGTCCCCCTGTCAATCGACAATTTTACTATTACCTCCTCGTAGATGCGTTTCAAACGAATTTAGTAATCACTTACTTTGTATAATTTCGTTTCAAGTTCACCATCCGTGTCTTGCTCCTGTGCGACGAGGCAATACTTGGACGCTCTGCTCGTTATGTCTTTCGGATCGGTCAATTGCGTAACGCTTCGTTTGCGACGAATAAACGGTTGAAGTATAGTCCCGACCGGAGCTAGGCCAGGGGGCCGATGATCGATCCATCTGTCTGCGCTCTGCGACCGCCTGTACCGTAAATTCACTACCGGAATCCTCTCCTGGTGACGTGAAAACCACATACGCAAGCTTGATCAAATGTTTCAACGTGTATACACATATTTTTGTACAAAAGTATTTGATACCTTTCTACTCAGTCGAGCGTCGCTACGATGTTCAGACTGAACCATGGTAATTGGTCTTGTAATCGTCCTCGGCGTAGAAATTATCGGCTCCGAAACACTGGTAGTAGCCTCAGAGCCTGTGGGTATTTCAGCGTCGCTCATCACTGATGTCGGATCCTCGGTTTCTAATCTCTCTTTCACGTTTACGTCCACGTCCTCGTCGCTTAATATTTGCTTCACTAACTTCAGTTTGTCCTCCTTTTGTTTCATTTGATTCTAAATGGATAAGAAAGTAATATTGATTGAATGAATGAATGAATGAATGAATGAATGAATGAAGAAAGAAAGAAGCATGCAACGAATGAAGCTAGTACCTGGAGAATCTCACGCTGCCGACGTAGTTTACTTTCCAATTCCTTACTCATTTTATTAGTCTCTGCTTGAATTCTGCTAGAATATTTTTCCTTGACTCTTTGCTTATCCGTTATACGTTGATTCAATAACGTATCTTTGTCTTTCAACTACAACAACAGCAGATGTCGTTCGACTTCCGTAACTTTTCCATAGAAAACAACTTAAAAACTTACCTCTTGCTTCATGTGCCTGATCAGTTCGTTCGCGCTATTTAATCTGTATAACAACGTGTCGATTTGAGCTTCCGTTTTACAGATGTGCGCTTCTAACGTGGTTATCTGTAATCAGTTTGCAAAACGGATAATTGTAGCACTTGAAACATCGCATACTCGAGTACTTACCTTCTTGCGTTGTTGATCGTCCATCGCTTTCAACGTAGAATTCTCGATTTTCAATGATACGTTTTCTCGTTCTAGGTTCACCAACATGTTTCTAAAATCATTCTCTGAAAGACATAAAAAAAAATAGCTGTACGTTGTCCGAGAAAATGATTAATTTGCAAATTGTAAACTATTACGTTTCTGTTTTAGATCCTCGCGTAAAACGTTCCGTTTTTGTATACGCAATTCTAAGAATCGCATAAGCGTCGTAATGATTTCGTCGTTATGCGGATTTGTCACGTCCATTCCTGGAAACGGTCCTCCGAGGCTGGAAGACGATTTATCACGTAACAACATTATCTTTCTCATTAGCGAACAAGCGACGTTCCACCCACCTGTACACTAAACCTAAATCAACTTCCAACTCGGCAGCATCTCGATGACCAGCACATTCCAGCCTATTCCTGGCTTCTTTGAACATCTATAACGAACGACAAGATCAATTGAACAAACAGGAACAATGTGTATGTTTCACGCTTCCTTACTTTATTAGCTTGTCTTCTACCAGGTGTGTATCCTAAATCCAATTTCGAGCTCGCCGAATTCGTAACTTGCACTTCTTGGCTTACTTCGGCGAACTTCAACACTTGCTACACGACGAGGATGAGAGTGAACGTATTATTGTAATCAGAAATATGATGACAATTTAAAATGATAAGAAATTAAATGCTCACGATCGTCTCGTCGTAATCATCGATACTAGGATTGACGCAGATGATCATTCTGACGGCTCCATCACCGTCAAAATAATTCTTAAACAACTGTGTTATCTTCGAGTCTCGATACGGAACTATTTTATTCGTTCCCTGTGTCTGGTTCTCACGAAGTATCTCCAAGCAAGTGCGCAGCGTCATTAATGAATTATTTATATTTCCTATCGGAGAATAAATGAGAAATGAACTGAAACATAGATGTCATACAATATCTTTGTGAATTACCTGCTTCTCTAAGCCTCTGACCAGTATTTTTCGAGCGGTTCGTACGCTCGCTTCCGGCTAAATCTACCAATGATAATTGACTAATACAGACTGTCCGCTTGTCTTGAACAACTTGTTCACCTTGTTTATCCAGCGGTGCCTGGAGCAAATAATCAAAATACACACACGAACCGCGCGCGGAATAGTAACAATGCAATCATACACCGGGATTAATACCTGAACGAGCCTTATGGTAAAAACACTATGAGATCTGCTTGATTCTGCATTAAGATTAGTGTACGCGATGTGTCTTCTGCACTGACCACGTTGAAATACCTCAAACGCTTCTTCCGAACTTTTCACCTCCACTTCTGTACACCCGTGAATGTACATGTTTCGGTATCCATCTTCGCGGATAATTTTACTCTGCAAGGTCCTGAATTCATTCATAAATCTCACGAAACATTAATTAAAATTCTCGACGATCATTGCACGTACTTAGCCTTCGCATCAGTCTCTTCTAGTAAATCGTACACACTGTTGTTATAAACTTCAACGTATGTGATAAACACTGCATATGCATTATCCTCGTCGATATCTACGGTCTGCGGCTCGTTGCTGACGTTTAACATATCATTGTTGTTCTCGTTCTTCCCGTCGCCTTTACACCTTTATAACGTATATCAGTGAATCGAATATTTTATTCTACGTAGAGAGTAATGTTCCTCACTTACGTTCTAGGAGTTTTCCCACCAGTAGGAATAACAAATTTCTGAAGCTCGTTCTGCCTGTCCAGCAATGCATCGTTTTCGTTTTGTACATCGAAACCGTTCAGCTTATCTGGTTTAAATATGAACTTTTTCGCTTGGCAATGCGCTATGCTGTTAAACATAACGTCCAAACTGCGAGGCATGATCCCCGCGTCGTTCATACTGCCAGACATAGTATAGGTTTTACCGCTCCCAGTTACTCCATACGTGAAGAGTAAACCGTTTCTGCCGTTTATAAGATTCTGAACAAGCGGCAAAGCGACGACGTTGAACACTTCATTTTGAGAGGAGCTCGGGCCAAAGACGTGACTGAAACATGTTCGAATAGCTCTGTTCGCGGTACGAACGTTCGTTACCGATTCTCCCGACGTTATGACCAAGCTCGTGTCGGACGTAATTTTAATACACGACGTGTCGTTAGGCCGAGTCATCGGCCTCAAACGGCAGAAGACTTTGACAGGTTCCTTAGATACATCGTCGTCGTTGTCGTCATGTTTCGTACGGCCTACGTGTTTACGTAGTGCAGCAGGTGGTTTCGAGTTTCTGGCGAAAACGAAATAAAAGTTTAGACAGTATTTTAAATTATGATCCGGTATTGTCAGTTTCAGTTATCGATAATTAGAATTACGTGAAAGCAATTGGAAAGAACGAATAAGAGTGGAATCTTACGCAGGTTTCATAGTAGAGTCCGTTGGTGATAGGTTAACAATTATTGCAGACAGTTATCGAGATCTTGACGTAGACTTGAAGAGGCGTAACATCTTCTTCATCTTTCTTCTTTGGTTGAGGTTTTCAAGTTTCACTCACGTTTATTCTAATACCATAATATCGTTATATTTATTACAAAAGCTAGCGTGTATCAACGCACGTGGTGTGTATGACAAATTTGAAATTCAAACGTCTGCAACGCGAAGTGAGCGCTTGATGATACTCGGCGCATTTCTATACATTTGACGAATGATCTTTACACATTTTTATTTCGTTGCGATTTCGATACATGAAATCTTTCGTTTGAAATTCATGCATCCTGTAGCTGATTGTTATAATTATACGATTTTATAAATTATGATTGCCATGTGATACTTTCAGTGTCGTGAAGTTGCCATCATGGATCGTAACCGTAATGAAGAGTGTCCTGATTTGTTTACAGAATCGTAGGTTAGAGTTCGTTCAAGTGATCGTTGCGAATCTCATTGACAGTTGATTGACAATTCACGAGTTTACGACGAACGTTTTCAGTGTATGTATTCAGTATGTATATATGAACGTTTGTATGTGTTCACCAACGTAAACGAGATATTCTCTTAATTACTGTTGTTAAAAATCGATGCAGGACGCGGTACTTCGCCCATCGTCTGTTGCACAGTCATTTTAAATACTGTTTCGTTGACTACAATAATATTCAGTTCGTATGGGCATAAACATTTAATACGAAAGCAATGTCCGACAAGGAGGTCAACGAAAATCCCGCTATTGAAATTGGTGGCAAGTCAGACGAAATTGGTGAAAGTTCAACGAACGAAGAAGCGCCTGCTAGTCTCGAGACAATTCCCTCGGAAGCACAGTCGACCCGTAACGGAGTTCAATCTGTCGCCAAGGAGAAAGCAAAAAGTACGATTGTTCGTTTACAAGAAAGAAAGCCGGTCCAAAGTGCAGAGCTGAGAAGTTTCGCAGAGAATAAGAAAAGTTTGTTAATGTTCCAGTTGATATTTTGCTAAAAGCGACCGGGAATGCACCGATAATGAAGCAGAAGAAATGGTCCGTCAGTCAGGATCATTGCATCGGTCGAATCTCAGATTTTGTTAGAAGGTATCTCAAGTTAGATGCTAATGAGAAATTGGTAAGTTCAATGAATAGAAAGTTGCTGGTTCCAACATCAGTGGCTCAAGCACATTTTCTTTGCTAGTTCCTCTATGTGAATCAAACGTTCGCACCTGCACCGGATCAAATAGTAAAGAATCTGTACGACTGTTACGGTGCAGATGGAAAATTGATACTTCATTACTGCAAGAGCCAAGCCTGGGGATAAGCATCGACTCTGAGTACGTGTATACTTCTATATATTATAAATGTACATAGACATTACAAAGATTTATATCCTATACTATTATATATAATATATAAGTGTCGTTGATCGGTTCAATTTCAAATTGAATCTTGGCTAATCAAATAAATAAGGTTTAATTTAATAAACTTGGGCAAGTTCGCCTTAGGAGTTCCACTGTGTTCGTGCGTCATAGCAGAGTTTCTCTCGAACGTTATCACGACGCGTTCGTAGTCGACGTTTCCGAAAACGGGTATTTCCAAATCATGACGGCACCGTCCGCGCTCACTGTAACGATAGATTTTCCATTCGGAGAGAACGCGCTGGCGGTAACAGCGGCAGCGTGTGAAAGACCTACGCGGACAGTGCTCGCAGTACGATATTCCCATAGTTTCACGATATTATCATCCGATCCGGTGAGAAAATAATTTCCGTCGCAACTGAAATTGATCGTGTTCAATCTGCCAGAGACTGAACCCTCAACCTCCCGAACCCACGAGCCGTCTATGGTCTCCCAGTATGCCACTTTCCCATCCGTGCCGCAAGTTAAAATCTGTACGCCGCTGGGCACGAAACACGTTGCCATGTACATCGTATTTCCACTCAGCATGAACTTCCTCGTTAAATTTCTGAATGAGAATAGCTTTTAAGTTATCGCAGGCGCCACGATTAAATTCCAACGTTTCCGAGACTCAATGTTTACCTCAAATCCCACATTATGCACGTGCCGTCCTTACTGGAACTGATCACACTCTTGTTATCAGGTGAAACGTGCAACGACGTTATCGCACCCCTGTGCTCTTTCATCACTTTCAGTAGATGACGTATCTCGGTTACTGCGTTCCATACTCGCACCTGAGCCAACGCGTGTACCAAGTTTATTAACTTATACAAAGTCATTACATGTTTTGTACGAGTACCTGCCCCTCGCAGCCACCAGTGATGAGTTTGCAGTCGTCGTTTGTAATCGTAACGACCGAGACGGATTTCGTGTGAGCGCTATTGATCTCGAACAGCAGCTTTCCTCCGTTCAAAGCGAAACCTCTTACTGTCCCGTCGTTCCAGGCTTCCTCCGAGTAGATCGAACGACGATTTCAGTCATAACAAATAATGATAGATACTCGCTCGAAACACTCACCGGATATTATAGATCCTTTCGAATCGAAACATATACTGGAACAGGAAAAATTTGGTACGGTGATCCTGAGCAGTTCTTTCTGATTGTCCAGCTTCCATATTCGTATGTCATTTTTACCGGTCGTCGCGAATATCTCTGAACAGTCCCTGTGAAATTGATTCGCCACGGTAAAATCATGGCAACAGAGGAGTAAACCCCTTGGAGCGAAAGATTTACCTCGGAAATGCCAAATCGTATATTGTACTGGTATGACAAGTGATTATCAAACGCAAGCGAAAGGTGGCCAAATGAATTTCATAGATCTCGCTTAGAGTAGTTCCTACGAGTATAAAGTCATTTTTAAACCGGACCATCGATGTCGCCGGAGCGCACACGTCCGCTGTACGGAGCTGTAAAGACATACATATTTATTTATACATATTCGTACACTATATCCTGGTCTTCGTGTTCTGTCGTACTTACTGTCACTATAACTGGTACAGTCAGCGACTGTTTCGTTTTATTTGCGGTACGCGGTGGTTCTTTCGCTATTTCAATTAATTCGATCGTCGCATCACCAGCACCGACGATCAACTTTTCTTTCTCTAAGAGCAACAGATTTTTTACGCCGCCCGCGTATACTTCTACGTCGTTCCCGTTCGTCTTTCCCACGTGCTTCGGTATCTTCGTGTAACAACCGACCATGACCGGGCATTTGTCATCTTCGACGTTGAATCTACGCGAGAAGACAACGAGATGTTAATTGCGAGTCGGAAAAAAGGGATTCGTCGATCGAACGACCTTGCTTTTATAATGTCGCCAGACGTCGTTCCGCAATAAATATTTTCGTCCTTTTCATCGATGACCACGCAGTTGATCGAACGCTTGATCTTCCCGAGTTTCGCGTCCGTCCCGTAGATCTTTCGATCTTTCGTACTCGTGCGCCATAATCTCAAATTTCCATCGCCAGCGGTGACAAAAGCCGTCGGGGAGATGTTCGTTCGCGCGACAATCAAAACGTCCCCGCAAGCTTCGCTCGCGGCAAGAGTACCTACGATGTGAACGCTACTAGTACGGGCTGAACTTGATTTCTTAGTTTCAATGATAATCGATGAAACGAAACCGAAGTAACGCACCGCACAGCGGCGTTTCGTTCTCAATGTCCCAGAGTATCACGCGACCGTCGTCCCTACCACCGAGACTGATCAGATATTGCCCGTTCTGCGTAAAGCACACGGCTTCGACTCTGACTTTATGCAATTCGTACTTAGACTTCATTTTACGCTCCTGGTAGTCCCATATTATGACCATTGCCTGTGTAAGTGGATCGTTTGAATGAAAGAAGAACGGGATGTAACACTAGTGTTCTTTCACTTTGAGAGAATCACCTTGAAACCATGATGTGTCACTTGACCAGAAGCTATCAAGTCTCCGGAGGGTGAAATGCATACTGCGGACACCGCATTTTTGTGGCCAGTGAGGAAGGTCTGTTCGCCGGACTTTATATTTTTTATGGTGACTTTGTTCCCCGTTGCGTGTATAATGTGTTCTCCATCGGGATGTACATGTAAACCATTCCTTACGAGACCTAAATTCAATTTCAGCTTTGAGTTTGTACGATGACGCGTCTAGAAGATCTGCTTGTCGCAAACGAAACTTTCTCGGAATAAGCGTAACGTTCCTGTTCAATCAAGACTCTTTTCTATCCTCGAGCAAATGAAAGTATCGCTTCATCCACCGCGCGTTTTGCAACAATTCTTTTGGAACGGAAGAGATAGGTAATAGCTATACAAAATCGCAGTTTATTATTAGTCATAAGACTAATCGAAAATTTAGACGATCCCGTTCGAGTCCTGCTAAATTATATACCGCGGTTTTCTCCACGTACAAGTGACGCACACTCCCGCGCGTTACAAGCATCTTTCAGATCTTCTCGTGTATCAAATTTTTCTGTGAATGCGTATAAAATCCGCAGACTATCGAATACTAACCGTCGAAGGCTATCACGCCAAGTAATTCAAGATATTGCAAGTCCATAATGAAAAGTTCTACGATATGCAACGACTCGAACTGACTTTCGTTACGATCAATTATACAAACTCTTCTTGACAGAGTAAGAATTTCGTCGTCATGGTAATCGTACGGGCGTGGACAATAGCAGATATTACGATAGGTTTCGATGAGGTGAGAGATCAATCAATGAATCGGGGGAGTTGGGTTAAAAAAAGTTTATTTGTGATTTTCAATTTTCCTTTTCGCGGCGTTTTTGTCGACAGTGATTGACAGCGTTTGAATCGTTGTTATCGATCGCCGGTAATGATTAATGAATGAAATGCCAACATAGAGGGCAGGATGATACGTTTGTTTCAATTTTCGTACGTTGCGCGAGACGCGGGTTTTGCTATTCCGATCCGGTGTTTGTCCGTTTTTCAAACAGGACGTTATAACAATTGTTTCATCAATCAATGATGGAGATATTACCGTAAGCAATTCAGGAAATTAGCTCACTCGAATCTAGACAAATTTATTATTCGCGATGAATCGAATCTGTCGCGAGCAACTGTGGGTCATAACCATAGAAGTCGTTCCTTTTGTTTTAGAGAGCCCGATTCGATGTTTTGGAAAACCGCTAGATTGAAAACTTTTGATAATTGGCCGTTTCGATCTTCTGATAATTGTAACGCAGAATTAATGGCCGCTGCTGGGTTTTTCGCGGTAGGTGGTAGAGAGGAACCTGATCTGGTCCAGTGTTTCATTTGCGCGAAACAACTCGACGGCTGGGATGCCGAGGATGATCCATGGTACAAATTCTAATATCCTTCGATTCTTTCATCCTAATCGCAGTTCGCTGTGTGCGTAACAAAAATTTGCTCTTGGTCGAAATCAGGATTTGTCTGTATTTGGTTTCTAGGACCGAACATGCGAGACATCAGTCAGACTGTTCGTTCGTGATGTTAGGAAAATCGGACGAGAGTTTGTGGACAGTGAACGATCTGTTCGATTTGTTAAAAAAATTTATAGTGAAGGAATGCGTGAGTAGTCTATCGTCGTTATCTCTGATTCTGTTGAACTAGAATCGTAAACATAACAAGATCCTGTGTGAATTCTACAGACACACGAATTGGACCAGTCCATGGCTGTGGCAAAACGAGAGAGTGAGGAACTGATGCGCAAAATACCTCAAATTTACATGGAATTAAGAAAAGGGCGCAAAGATTAGAGCCAAGGTACATTCAACGGTCTTACCCGCGACCGAATCCGAGTCCGCACAATTAATAGTTCATCTTATTTTTTTTATTCTTTTTAAATAAAATTCGGCTGCAACGAATTATTTTCATCTTTCTTCGTTCATTTACGATGTTTCTCGTGTTGCAAATTAGACGTCATATTACAGGCGTTAAAAAAAGAGATAATCAGTCGTCTGATAATTATCTAAGATTAGCAGACAATCAAGTGAAGTATGGGAGAAAAAGTAACGATATCGCGGACAGGCAATTTACGCTGATACTTCTCGTGAAACTTGATGATTTTATCGTGACGACACTTTTAATTCCACGGTATTAGAGGTACGATCGATTCATTATCATTAATCTGGCGCGTCGTGATATCGGGAGCGAAGGTGGTTTAATTGTTTATAGCGATTGTTTTCATGCTCGATACTGCAAAAGTTTTACCGTGTGTCAACACGTTCTCGACGAAAGTTGAGTCAAGCGTCACGACAACAATTATATTCATACTTGAATATTAAGCCAGCCAGTAGCTACATTGTAGAAATATTGATACTTCCTGGAAGTTAGTCTTTAATATTCGTTGTGCGCGAGATATAAGGGCCGGCCGGTAGGCTGTTCGAAAGAAGGTACGCGACAGAAAGATAGCGGCGAATGATCGTAAACAGGGTATGAAATATTTCGTCTATTTATACCAGTGATGAAATTTAACACGGAGATACCGCGATGGTCTTAAGATTCTTCAGTACTGTGAAATCGCGATTTTACCTTCAAATGTAAGTAGGCAATATCTTTTGTAGATATCGTCTGCGGTAAAACGAGGATGTTCCGCGTTGCACTTTCCTCGCGTTCTTCTAACGAGAGTAAGGGTCGCGGTAATCGTTCACCGCATCGATTATGATCTTCCTAGGATCACCGACCGCTTTGTTAGGATTTAAACCTACTTTTACGTACTTTGATAAGAGATCACGTACGTGCCTCGTGTAGGATAATAATTGTGAAACGAGCAAGAAAAAAGCTCTTACGGAAAAACGTTTGTTCTTTTAATAGGAATGAGCAATTTTTCACGAACGGTGTGTGGTTTCGTATGCGAGTTTCTCAGAAAAGTTTTCTCCTCTTCTTTCTACTTTTTTTTAAATCGATCTTTTCGATCGGAGGTACGCGGTCGAGATCTCTTTTGCTCTTGTAACTGTTCATCGAACGCTCATGGTGTACAAACACGGATTATCAAAAATAGGTGCATAATACGCGACGCGTTATCATTCCCCTCCAACCATCGGTCGTACTCTTCCCTACGCCAACTTTTACCAACCCGCTCGGCGTCTTATCCACAGTTTCCTTTCCCTTTTTGCGTTTAGTGAGGAACACGTGTACGAGTATAAAATGAATTCGCGCGGTGCGGATTGATTCAGTTAATCGGAACATGCGGCTGCGGTACACGGGTACCGGTTTCTGTCCATAACATCTCGTGATTTTCGTGTTAAGAGACTTGTCCCGTGGCTCGTGCCGACAGTAGTACATGTTCACGTACTCAACGAGCTGAACTCAGAGAACGTATGAATTTCACTCGGCTCCGAACGACGTGATACCAAACGATTTATGCTCCACTTCGCGTTGCATTAGACACGGAGAACATAATTGAATTTCGTTTACAAAATGCTGTCGTCCTGGAAAGTATGCTGTAAGTACCGCTCGCGTCCTTTAACAATGATTAACGAAGCGTCGTTTCTGTTTTAATTCGCGTTTGCTTGGGAGATTTACAGATGTTTGCGGGCTATCGATCAAGATAATTTACTATTTTAACAAATTCACATGAAACTCCGCACCTTCTCCGTTTCATTATTAATTCGATCTTACGAAGAGAATCTTTTAGAGCGCGTATAATAGTAATCGTTTTGTTAAGAACGATTTAGTGGAACTTAAGCATAAGCTCATCGTTACCACGATTTTATTGGATGTTTGCACAGGGTGTTTAAAGAACGTTTACGAGTCGTCGTTGAAGATTAGTGTACGTCTCGGCACTGTTAACTTAAATATCAGTGGAACGCCGATTTTACTTTGCGCAATTAGTAATCGGGTGTTTCGTAAGATAGAAAACGGTAAAACACGCTGGTATAATAGATTAATCAAATCGATTACAATGAAGGTAAAATTACGTAAACGTCGTTGAATAACGCATTATGCGGCGACGATTAATTGTATTTGAATTTGATCGCGTTTGGATAATTCTATCTTCCCACAATTTATTAAACGTAGTTGAACAAACGATTAATGGAATTGTCGGAGATCCGCGAGACACCGATGGACACATCGCCACGCACGCTTTTTTCTTAATCGGCGAAACGTTGTTGCTTAAAGTTAAACGATTGCAGATTATACAATACGTTGACGCGGACGACGAGTTATGTATAATTTATTCCATAGTTCGTCGTAATTACGTCGAGGGATTCGTGTCCGTGAGTGGAATTTTTTTTAACGTTTATCGAGAATACCTGAAATATTTCCGTGCAGGGAACAAAAAACATGATTTGTCCTCGAAAGAAACGAACCAAAGCAAATGCAATGCGACGCGATGCAAACCGCGGAACGGTGGAAGGATAAAAAAAATCGTATTCGCGGACTCGAAACGTTCCACGTGCATAACGTGTGTAACAAAAATGCGATCACGGGTTCCGGTTAATAAAGGGAGATATTCCGATGTGTTCGCAAACGGCGCGAGGCTCGACGAGTTCCCCGGGACGGATAATAAACAAATAATTGGGCTCCGTAAAACGGGATTACTCTAGTTAAGAGCACGTAATTTTGTATCCGTCTATTAACAGAATCGAGTAAATCCCGTAATTCCTCTCTCGTTATCTTCGTGCCGAATCTCGTCTACATTCTGCCTCTCGATATCATCGACGCACCGCGATATTGTTGGTAGTTTTTTCGGCTCCTCGTGTTTGGATTTCCCGTACATTGTTCAGAGATAAGATAAACTCGCTGATGATGCGTGTCTAACTGAATTTCAACGTAACGATAATCTTATGCGATCGTTTGTTTATAGTCGATCGATCGATCGATCTTTTCCATGACCAGCTAACACACACCTCCTTCATCTTTTATCACCGATCTTCACGAATCATCGCACGGTATCGTATAATGCTCATCCGCTTTTTTCATCTCGTTTTACCCTCGCGCCTCGACGGACTCCTTATCTTCCGACTTTTAATCGGACGAAGTTCCGAAGATCCATCGATCAAGCGAAGAAACGTTTGTCTCGCCTATTTCTTCGCCTATTTGACAAGATTTGGTCTGACGACGAGTAGAGTAGTTCGGTCACGACGACGGGCCGATCGGAGGAAGTTAGGATCGATTCTCTACGAATTACAATGAAACCATTGTAAACCGTATCACGGATTATCGTCACGGGTGTCGAATGCGTTTGACCTCTCGCTTCAAGGATTCATTTGGTCTTCGAACTCTTTTCGTCTCGCGCGCGCGTTCCTCGCCCCGCCGTTAAATTTTGTCAGTTCGGTGGTTGCCGCCGTCTTACCTCCTTAGCGAGCGGCAGGATGAAATTGAAACGATACTTAAACCGAAGTGGCGGTGATACGTGCGAGGAATCTGACCTTTACCCAGTTAAGTCCGTTCGGCTCGTTAGACAGCTGCCAATAGGGGAAAGCCTCTGCAGCTAATCGTCATTCCTTCCGCGCCGTTGACCTCGGAACTTTCTTCGCGACAGCCACGACCGTCAGCCCGTTCTCGTCAATGCGTACCGTCACAGATGCATACGTAAACGACGCTTATGATTGATCCGTAGGTGGAAGAGTACCGCAACGATGGGTGTTCGCGATAATGGGTTTTTTGGCAGTGTTCAACGCTTACGCGATGAGGGTTTGTCTCTCGATCACGATCACCGAGATGGTGGTGCCACGGAAACCAGAGGATGGAATCCATCCCGACGATATTTGTCATGCTTCGGCGATCACGTCGCTTGGGCACGTCGATCATAAACCCGTGATCAGATCGTCAACTGCGACACAATATAATTGGGATCCGTTCACGCAGGTAAAAGGAGATCGTGTCTCCAGAACGACACACTCTCGCGGTGCGTTCTTATGATACGGACAGACATCGTTCGCGTTCCGATGATCCCGATTCGGAATATTAAAAAAATGCTTATTTGATAAGTTTTAAAAATTGAAAGATCCCTGGAATCGCGAACGATCGTCGGTTTACGTAATTAGGGTACTCGAAAGAACGCGCTGGTATTATATAACATTCATCCGACGATAAAAGTCTCGGTCTAGTTGCAAAAATGAAATTAACCGCCGTTTAACACGCGGCTTCGGTCGCTGACGCTTCTCGACAGATAAAGGATCCTTGTGACTGCCGCTTATTTTTGTCTGCACAACAAGCACGTTTTTGCACATTAACACCTCGACGGTTCGTTATTCCCCGAGCGAAATTCCAGATTCCTTTTTATAAATTCACCGCCGCCGCCGCCGTCGCGTTACGAAAGCACGCGGATAATGAATAGATAGCTATCGAGAGATTTTACAAACGTGCGAGGAAAATTTTCCTCTCGCGCCCGCAATATTATGAGGTGCAAACTTTTCCCTGTCCCCGATACTCACGAGCCGTTTAAATGAAATAAATTTTCCACGAACGACGACGCGTACGAGTCAGCACTTAGCCCATTGCGGTTAAACGTCGGTTCCTTCGTTCGTCGTCGATTAATGTTTGCAGATTCAATTTTTAACGTTTTCCCTGTAGGGTATAATTCTATCGTCGTTCTACTGGGGTTACGTGGTGACGCATCTGCCCGGTGGGATGCTGTCCGAGAAGTTCGGCGGAAAGTATTCCCTCGGCCTGGGTATCTTGGCGACCGCGGTGTTCACGCTCCTCACGCCGCTGGTCGTAGAGTTCGGAGATTCAACGGGGCTGATCATTCTACGCGTGTTAATGGGTCTCTGCGAGGGTACCACGTACCCGGCGTTGAACGCGATGCTCGCGCAATGGACACCGCCGCAGGAGAGGTCGGTGATCGGTTCGCTGGTGTTCGCCGGCGCCCAGCTCGGCACGGTGTTCGCTAACTCCTTGTCCGGCGTCATACTCACCTACTCGCCAATGGGATGGCCGGCCGTGTTCTACGTGTACGGCAGCATCGGGGTTCTATGGTTCTTGGTATGGCAGATAATGTGTTATAACAATCCGGACGTGCATCCGTTCATTTCCGACAGAGAAAAGAAGTTCCTCCAGGAGACAATGCATGAGCATACGCATAAGAAACCGCCGTCGGTGCCATGGCGGCACATGATCAAATCCGTGCCGCTCTGGGCGTTGATCGCCGCGCAGATTGGCCACGATTGGGGTTTCTTCACCCTGGTGAACGATCTCCCTAAATACATGAGCAACGTGCTCAAGTATTCAATCAAAGACAACGGATTTTTGTCTGCGTTGCCTTATCTGACCATGTGGATCTGTAGCGTGATAACGTCTTGCCTGGCCGATTGGATGATCACCGCCGGCGTGATGTCGCGTACGAACGTGCGGAAATTGGGCACGACTATTGCCTCATTGGGACCGGGTGCTTTCGTCATCGGCGCGTCTTACGCCGAATGCGACAGAGCGACCGTCGTCATCATGTTCACGGTCGGCACAACTCTAATGGGTACGTGTATAGACAGTTGGAAATAAGGAAGCGCGGAATCGATCGCTAATTGCTTATCTCGTTATTCTCCTCCCAGGGACGTTTTATCCAGGGATGAAGGTGAATGCTCTCGACCTCAGTCCGAACTATTCCGGTACTCTGATGGCCGTCGTAAACGGAATAGGCGCGTTTACCGGCATCGTGACGCCGTACATTGTCGCCGTGTTGGCCAAGGACGAGACCCTTTACCAATGGAGGCTCGTGTTTTGGATAGTTTTCGGGGTCTTCATCGTGACCAACGTGATCTTCATCTTGTTCGCGAGCGGAGAGGTCCAATATTGGAACGATCCCGAATTCGTTCGAAGGGACAGGCAAGAGAGGCGAGCGAGGATCGAGTCCGAGAAGAAACAGAAACTCGAGAAGCCCGTTCCATAAGCAGATCGAAATGTATTACCTTCCGATAATTTCCATATTGTGATTTCGTGCAACAATCGGCAGGTGCGTTCTCTTTATGACATCAGCCGAGCACGTGCGAGATATACACGACGAATTACGCGAGTAGTTGATCGACTTGCGATATGAGAATTTTCACGACTATCTCATTACACTCGTTGAATGACACGAGTGCAAAAGTATTTTACCGTACGCGCGTTCGTCGGATGTATTACTCAACGATTGTGTTTCCTTATCCTCGTACTTTACGTCTAGTCCAAATGCGAAACGGGAATTACGCGACGAACATCGTTACAATTCCGTCTCTTTAATCGGACACACGTTATCGAGCGAGAATGAAAAAAGAAATGCACATTCCGCTGACAGAGACGTGTTCTCGCGACTAACGAGATTCACAATCAGTGTACCTGAAAATGCATACATGTACTTTTTTGCTGCGCGCGTTTGGAATGTATAACGGCGGCGGCGGCATCTCATTCTCTTCCATTCGACGTGTGGAGGACGAAGGAGGTAAACGTATATACGTGTATGTTTAGTTAGAATAAAGTGCGTGCGTATACGCCTGCACGTGTGCGTTGTAACATAACGATCCGGGCATACAATTATTTCCTATAGCGGACATACGAGGATCAGGACGGGGAACTAGTCGATTGAAACACGTTGAATCTGTTACTTATAGCATAGACTGTATTTATTTCGTTTTTTTCTCTTTTTATACAAATGTCCTCCATCGACGTATCACATTATGTACAAATTATCTTCAATTAGTCTCATCGCTCACTCTAAAATCTTTTTACAAACTCGTTTCGAGTCAGCGATATCTTCAATTGGTGGGTAACGTCCAAGTAAGCGGTACGTCAAGCTTCTTCTTGTCCTGTTTCTTTCGTTGACCTCGATACCTCGCCCTGTTCGGGCTCCAATCGATGTCGTCCTTGACTCTCCAAGAATTATTTGGTAACGCGTAACTGCTGGTCGAGTACGCGTTTCTAATGGTCTGCGCCGACTCCGGCTCAAAAATGTTTGCGAAGACGTAGTCGGCGTGATAATAATTCCTCAGCGTTGGCTCGTCGCGAAAGGCTTGCATAGCGCACCAGACATGCGAGAGCAGGCAGGGGAACCTTGACAGCCAATAATTCGTGAACTTATCAGGTATATCACCGAGGCTCTCTTGAGCCTGTGGGCTCAATTCTCTGTAATGATGTTTCTAGAAGAGAAAATTCCGTCTGTCAGTCTTTAGACGATCGCGTACGAATTGAGAACTCGGGAAGACGAAGAGACACAGATGGGTTGGCTATCGAGAAACCTTTCCTTTTACCTTATTTCGCAATGCCCTTAACAGATCCCTGACGCTTTCGCCCCGATAACTCCTGTACTTTCGAAGATCCGTGGCAACTTCCACGTCGATGAGCAACCTCCAGTCTCCCTGCACCACTCGATCGTGGTCCGATTCTAGTGCAAGTAAAGCCGGACTATCGACCTGCTCCTTCTCCACCCTGTCGCTCACGTCCTAATTAGATACGTCAACGAAGCAACAGTAAGTAAATTTAAACTCGGAGGTTGAATTTGTAGTTTTGACGAGAGCAGGTACCTGGAAAAAACCAAGAATTCGCGCGGGTTCCCAGAATATCGGATGATCATAGACAGCTGTTACTGGCGGCCGTTCCGATGGATTGCTCGATATCATCGCTTTTATGAGAACTAACGCTAGTTCCTTATCGTTCCGTGAAATTCCATCGTGTAGTGCCATTAAATCGCTTTCACCGCCTAAAGGAGTTCAAATGTAGAATTTAAATGAAGAGGGGACGAAGAAGATAGAGATCGTTGGAACGTGGAGCGTATCTTACAAAGAATATTAGCTTGACGCCGTAACGGATCTCCGAACGGGTGTTTCCCATCGGAAAGAACGTAATAAAACACACAGCCCAAGGAAAATATGTCCACGGCACAAGTGGTCCTGTCTCCGTTTAACATCTCCGGTGCGATCCAACCGTCAGTTCCCGTCACACCCGATCTTCGTGAAAATGACACACGTCCCAGTTGAAGTTTCTTGCACAAGCCAAAGTCCGATATCATCGCTCTTACTTCCCCACGTGGTCCCGGTGCGGATAACAACACGTTGTGCGGTTTGATATCCCTGTGCACTGCCCAGACGTTCATTCGTTTAGAAGATACGTGTGTACGTACATCCGCATTCGTGAAAGAATAAAACGAAGCTTACCGATGTCGAGAAGGTGCAAATGCGCCAAACCCGAAGTGGCCTGTCGTAAAATACTTTTTGCGGATATCTTTCGCTTGTCGTACTTCCCTCCAACGTAGTCCTGCAACGTTGCTTCGGCTAGTTCTAACGCGATATACCTGAACATCCTGTCTTGCTCAGTGCAGAAGTAACGCACAACATTGGCGTGTGCGTCTGATTCTCTGAGGAGCGCCACTTCTCGATCGGCGAACGTGAAGCAATCGGGCAAGAGGCGCTTCACAGCTACGGAGCGTCCGTCGAACTCGCCTCTGCAAACAGTTTCATTGACATTGACAGCGTAACACTTAGACCTCGTTCGTTGGTTACGTTCTGCCAAGTTACCTGTACACAAACGTTCCTTCGCACCCTTTGCCCAAAACTTGTCCTGTATCGAAAGTTATCTTACCAACTTTCACCACCCCCTCTCCCATGTCTTCTGGAATCACGAGGGGGTTTGACCGCGTTCCATAATAATCGTTCGTACGACTATTTTCTCGAGAGCCCTGTGACAAACAAATTTAGCAGTCTAAAAATCGTAACAACGGGGAAGCGAGGTGAGATAGGAGTAAGGAAAGAGAACCTGTGAGAGCTGTTGAAACTCTTTGAATTGTGCGTTCAAATACCAGAACATCGCTAGTATGCATCCTAGCAATACGATCAGCGTCAATTTCAATCCTTTGTTCTCCTGTTGACTGAGCCAGTTCTTGCTGATGGTGTACGCGCTCCGTACGACCTCGCGCCAAGACCTGTTGCTCGTACCGTTGTTAAATTCGTCCCCGTATCGCAATCCGAACAACGATCGTTTCGTCGAATTCAGATATCGTAAGGGTAACGAGTCGATCACAGGATCGGACCGTCCGGTGATTTGAAGCGGCTGCTGATCTTGTAATTTATATTCAGCAGGTATCTCGTAATGACCTGTTCATCAATGAAGTCGATAGAGCTGGCATGATCGTTGATCGATGATCGCCGTACATAGCTTTAACGGCTCACCTAGTGCTATGACAGACTTATACTCGTCGTCAGACCGAACAGTAGAGTCCGTGGTGCTCAAGTATTCGCCATCGTCAGACACAGGAACGTCTCGGTTGTCGTCTATTTGTCTATCGTCTAATTGTGGAACAGGCAACGGACCTTCGAGCAACAACTGACCGACGCTGCTTGAAATCGTAGCCGTCGTCGAATCGACGAGAGACGGTAGCGCGTAAAGTCCGTGCCTATGCTGGCCGATGTACAATGTTGGACTACGAGAAACGGAACGTACATGGTCGAACAATTCTACACAACTGAATGCACTGATGTCGATTGTAATTACTGACTAGAGCTGAATGTCACTTGGTTTGTTCGCGAAACGTTTCAATAGAAGGTCCAGAGTTTCATCGGCAACGCTCGTAAAAGGAACTGTTATCAAGCCGTCGTCTTTTACGAGATACAGCGCTGTCACGGGACTCTCGAGGTCCAGCTCCCATAACATGATTCCTAATCTCCTGTCCACGGTGACTACGCGACCAGTCGAACTCGTCGTAAAATGAACCAGGTCTGCGATAAAAGAATGCCGTTGTAATTCGCAATCGAGACTAGTAACGCGTAACGATGGACGGACTGACGTACCGTAATTCTCTATTCCTTCCGGTTCCATTTTCGCGGCAGAATAATCGTAGAACGTAACGTTCCATTTTCTATTCTTTTGCTTGCTGTCGACCATGATAATATTGTATTCCGTGCGTCCCATGAAAACGACGTTTTGCGACTTTATGGGGCAAGTACTCTTGGCCGTATCAAATCCTAGAAGCTGCTCCCTTTCGCCGGTTCTAGGATCGACCCCAAACCACGTGTCGATTTTTCTACCGGTGTATAATATCCCGTCGCTGCTGCGACAGGGACTGTTGGCCACGAGTTGTGGAATGGTGAATGGCAGTTTCTTCAGAGCATCCGTTTCTGCCCCGTACACATATAGGGAGCCATCCTTCGGATCTGGTAAGAACATAGGCCTGGAACAACGGTAAAGTTTACAGTGCTCGGAACGCAGTAATCTGGTATAAATGGATTCTAGCAGACTTACGCAGAAGCTCTTGCAAGATCAACCGGTACCTTGACTATCGGTTCTACAATAAGAGTCAACAAAAAAAAAATGTTACGCTAGCTTAGTAAATCTTCCATCCTCATGGATTATACCTATTTAACAATACCATCGTTTTGCTTCCAAAGCACATTCCCAGCTCGTTGTTCCACACCAATGAGAGAACCGTCCAAAGTGGAAAACATTAACAGAGGATCCTCTTGTTCCGATATCAACTGTGTATCTAGCTTCTCCTTATACTACAACAACACCAGAAACATTTAGCTCCGTTATATGTTAATGTAGTAGCTCGTACTATTATTCATATCTCGGGGTAAAAATTACAATGAACCTACATCTTCCCCGGATGGCTTCAATTGGTCAGATCGTCCTGTTTGATCGCAGATAACCGTGTCGAACGGTCCGAAGACCGTAACGACTAGTATAAAAAGGTTGAATCGCATGATTGTTACGTGTTACTTGTTAGGCAAAATCAAAGTCGTAACAGCCTCGAGAAGTGTGAGTATACAATGAAATGGAAAGGCATTGCAAATCGCAACGTCCTCCCTTAAAACAGGTCCTCCTCATGTTCGTCATCTTGCCCAAACATTTTCGTAATCTTCATCGCGTCTAATCCATGTACAGGATACACAATCGAAAAATCTGTCGTCGTCTTTTCCCTTCATATGTACCTAGCACCGTGTATCGTGATACACGACAAACATCGTGAGATTTACTCGAAGTAACGATAGACATCTGTTTTCAGAGTCGACATTGTAGTTTCTGTGTAAGATGCAGTAATGACGGTTGAACAAAATCACATGGCATGTAAGTATGTACTTAAAACAAAAGCAATGAACGTTTTTCAATCACATGCGTGCGGTTTTCGCGCACAGTTCGCAATCGGAATTAGGAATGCGATCGAACGTCTTTACTATCGTGAACAATCGGCAATTATTATTGGAAGAAAAGTAACGACGCAGGACATTTGAATGTTTCACTCGCGACAGACGCGTATTGTCGTGTGTGTATGTGTACACATTGTACATCGAAATGATGTCGCGCATCCATCCAAGTCATACATAACGTCATGGACACGTGGCTCGCGTGTGTTCGCGCGGCAACACATTTCACTGTCAGTATATATAACGTGCTTGTACACGCTGCACGTGGCTAGCTAGGGCATTATTTTCGATTAATCGCTCCTCATTACGTCGCGAACAATTGTAAAAGTATGTTGAAAGTAATATCGAAGGATGTGCGGAGCAAGTACTGCAACGACGTAGTTACTGTACGATCATCATTGATATCGCGCCGTTGCGGTTATCCATACACGGTGATCAATTTCAATTTACTCGTTATTATGAGACGTCGGAGGAACATACGATTGAAAATGAAACCGGAACGATTGACACGAGATGCCTCTGTGTCATCGTAATCATTAAACTCGCCGTTTTAAAATATTTTTCCCGATCGCCATATAATTCCGAAGAGGCGTCACCGTCGCCGCCAGCGTCGACTCATTTCGACTTTCGACTCGCAAGATCACACTCACACTGTACGTAAATATGTACTATACATTCGTCTACGTCCTTAGATATATAGATAAGTAGCAAAGTAATGGTAAGTACACGTACGAACGCGCATGAAAAAGGAACGCGAAGTTTTGATATTGGATCATATTGGATGAAGCGAAGATAGAGATATTCTTCCGACTGTTGTCAACGAGAGAGATGACTGAAGCAACGATGTCGATACGAAATTATCAGATAACGATCGTCGCGAGCAACGGAATCATCGAAATTAATCCCGACGTACATTAAGACATGTTTACTACCGATCGGCTGTTCATCGTGGCTAACGTTTCCCTTTAATCATGACGAGTACCAGGCAGAGTCCGAAGAAAGTGACATTGGCGATGATAAGAGGTGGGTGTATAGAAATTGAATAAATGCTTCTGCATCTTGAACCGGATAATTGATGATCAAAGATGATGGCCGTATGATGTAAGAAACGGAGTTCGATCGATTGCTTCTTTTTTCCGAAGGTAAACCTATTACAACGTCGGTTCCTGTGATTCACTATCATGCCAGCGACGACGAGTTGGAGGAAATATATCCGAGCACGGATGAGGAGAAGCGATCGTCGCCCGACCTGGACAAAGCCTCGTCTAAGATAACGTTCTCACCGTCGAAGAACACCCACGAATCAGACGTGTCCGACAATGCTGCGTGTAAGTCGGCGGTACGAAGCGTTAGTACAGAGAATATCGTATTAGAAGGTACACCACCGTCGTTAGATCCATGGAAAGTATTTTCTGACATTAAAGGAAAGATAACGAAGACATTCGAGGAGAAATTGTCCGAGATAAAAAACGATAAGAGAAAGCGACATAATTCCAGAGCTGAAAGTTCGAGTATAAGTGATTCAGAGGATCAGGGATGCGTTACGCCTAGCAATGAGAAGGCGGACGATAAACAGTTGAACGAATCAACGACGACAACGACTGTCCATCGAAGGGGATATCCTGCGAGATACGTGGGTTTCTCTGGGGTAAAGACTGGATTGAAGGACAAGAGCAGCCTGCAGGATGAGTCCGTGGAGAGCGGCGTCGAGGCTTCGGAATTCACTCACGAAGTCGAGAACGATGCTGACTCTATCGCGAAGAACGACTCGTCGACCACGGAGGCAGTTAGTAACGGTGATCGTATCGACCCTCCACCACGACAAGCTTTTACACGCTCGGTAGTGTTCCCGAAGCGGATAGACTTGAAACGCATATTTTCCCGCTTGATCAAACAGTTAATTTGCCAAGCAACTTATAAGTCGGTTGCCGTCCTCATTGCCATTTCTTGCGTTTATCAGGTCGTACCGTTGTCAGAGCATTTGCTGGGATTTATCGTCGGTGTCTTTGTCTCCGTTACCGTTTACGACGTACGTAGGAAACTCGAACAAATTTTAACCACTTTGCCGGACGAGAAATCCGATTCCAATCCGCCGATACCCGTTTTAGAAATTCCAGCGGTCGAGGAGCACGCCGTGGTCGAGAGGTTTCAGGGTTGGGTGAACGAACTTCCGTACAGTTACCAACCGAATAATTATCACGTGGCTCGCACAAAGTCGGTTTATCTCAGGCTAGAGGGAAGCGTATTGCGCATTATGGAGACGAGAACGAAAGTACCGAAGAAAGCGGTCTGGGATGAGCCGAAGCATAAACTGAAATTCGTTAAGAGGAGAGTTTACGATCTGACCAGGGCGGAGATCGAACTTCTACCCCACGGGCTGACCAGGAGACGACGGTGGAGTAAGAAGTATCCGATCTGCGTGACCGTCGAGAAGAAAGCCTTGACCTGCAACGTGACTCTGAAGAGTGCGACTACTGATGGGTCCTCGGTGAGTGGTTGTCGCAACAGGACAACGTCAAGGGGAAGAGTGAAGTACAGAAGCGGAAGGGAATGGGGGCAAGGAGAAGATTCGCAAGACGAGGATGAGATCTGGCTCGTCAACACGGATGAGGAGGAAACGAGAGAAGAGGGAGAGGAGAGAGACATCGACGACGAGAACGAACTATTTAATTACGAGTCGACCAACAGTAATATGGACAACGAACACGTCAGATACGAGGAATGTATCGTAGAAAGCGAAGAAACAGAGGAACACATGGACGGCGAAAAAAAGAGAAACGAGAAGGATTCCAAGGAGCAGCAGAAGGAGGACGTCGACCCGTCAAAAGATGCGAAGAAGATTTGTGCGTGTATCGTTAAGAAAAAGAGGAGGAGCAAAGAGAATTTGTACGAGAACAAGGGACTAGATTGGGAAGAAGAAGGGAAGCAGATTAAGAGAAGGGAAGATGAGAGGGACAAGGGTGAACTGGAAGAGATGAAAGAGGACGAATCGGAAGTAAATCTGGAGCAAGATGAACTCGAGGAAGAGTGGGAAGAGGAATGGGAGGAAGATGAGGAGTATTGCGAGGAAGAAGAGGACGAGGAAGGTGAAGACGAGGAAGGAGTCGTGATCGACGATGACGATAACTGTTATTATGATGAACTGGACGCAGAAACGAAGAGCGATGAAGCGAAAGAAGTGGAGAAGGAAAAAGTGCGATCGTCAAAGCGAGGAAAGAAGCGGAGGAGAGTAAAGGAGATGTTGAAAAATACTTTTAAGAAGTGCAACGATGAACGGATGAACGAATTGAAATTATTCATTTTCGCCAGGACCGATCGCGAGAAAGAAGATTGGTACAGGCGTCTAGTCTCGGCCGCGTCTCGCTCCATTAAAAAACACGATTCGTCGTTTGCGATAGACTCTTCGCTCCACGCGTCTAACAATCAATCGGCGCAGCAGAAGACCGCGAACGCGGAGTCGAAGAGCTCTTTCTCAGCTGGCAACTCGCACGAGAACGTACCTGAGCTTAGTTACAACGCTTACATGGCAAAATACTTGGAGAACGGTTCGCCTTCGTCGGACGGTGCACTTTCTACATCTGTCGAGGGCACCCTTTGGGTAAATTGTTTACTAGCACGCATACTGTTTGACCTACGGAACTGTCCGGAAACTATAAGTGTTATACAGGATAAGATACAACGCAAATTGTCGAGCATAAAACTACCGTATTTCATGGAGTGCCTTCTGGTATCGGAGATAGTGATAGGTCAGGGAGCTCCTGTAATTCGTAACGTAACGAAGCCGATGACCAATGAGAGAGGTCTCTGGCTCGACTTGGATCTGGTGTACAAGGGTTCTTTGGCCATGACCGTCGAAACAAAATTGAATCTAATGAAATTAACGAGGACCGGTTCGGTTGCTGGTAACGCGAACGAGATCGTCTCTACGGACAAACAAGAATTAATAACAAGATCACCGATTTTCGACAGCGATCTAGAGGATACCCCGGAAACATCTACGGAGGACGATTGCGATACTTCCAGAACCCAGGCGTATAACACGGCCAAAGACGCAACGTAAGCGAGAACGATCCTCTTGTCGAACGTGCTGCTCTTCGAACAGCTGGCTCATTTGTTTTTCTTTTGCAGGCCCGCGCAATCATCGGGGAAGAAGTTTCTCAGTATGGTAGATAAAATAGCAGCAAATAAATATTTTCAACATGTAAGTGTTCTCATTACAAAGATTTTTATCAACGAACGCTCTTAATAAACTATAAATTGGTGTTCTTGACTCGTCAGGCAACCGAGCTGTCGTACGTTCGAAGGGCCATAGAAGGCGTGTCGAATACAGAGATCCGACTAATGGTCACCGTCTCGAGCATCGAGGGTCGTTTATCGATAAATATTCCGCCGGCACCGTCCGATCGTTTGTGGTACGGGTTCAAACCCGTGCCGAAAGTGAATCTCACGGTGAAACCCGCGGTCGGTGAGAGGACGGTGAACATCGTTTACGTGACTAAGTGGATAGAAGCTAAGTTGCTCAGGGAATTTGAGAAACTGGTCGTTTTACCAAATATGGACGATCTCATTGTGCCGCTGTGTCCTAATTATCCATATATGGCGACACGGTAGTCGCATAACGGAATAAAGATGTTCCACTGGTTACTGCGTTATCGCGTTGCTTGCAATCCGTCGACGAATAAAATATCGTTTTACGCGCTCTCTCTCTCTCTCTCATCGGATTCATAATATGAAATTCATTCCGTGAAATGTTCGATGGAACGAAAACATACGCATAGCTCAGCTTCTAGCTTGAGAATCCATCGAAGAACGAATAGAGAGACAGGTTAAAAGAACACCTATTGCTTTGAAAGCCGACAAACGATTCGCGTTTCTTAATCACTGTTCGATGTCTTAATAATTTCGATCGCTGTTCAGTGGAATTCATTAATATTTGAGTATCTCTCAGCGCGATTATCGATAATTTTCTTGGGACCATGCATCGTGTCGTGCACTCGTTTCATTTAGAAAGACTGCAACGGAAAGAGAAAATCGCTAGTCGTTATGTTTTGATCGAACTGTTTGTGATACTAATCATTTCGTAAACAAACTCAACGATATTGACTATAACTTGGACGATGTTTTTTAACGATATAACGTCGTTTATTTATTATTTATACATACATATATATATTATTATTATTACTATTATCTGAACTGTTTGAACACGTGCGCTTTCAATCATCCGTCGCATATTATAATAATTATTATCGTGCGTGTACGTGTATATACATACACATGTGTACACCACGATGATGTGTAATCTATAATGCAAGCGAACTGATATAAAACGAAATTTTAATCTTGTGTCCGAGTACGAGTTTGATATAGACGCATGATACGTTCGCATTTCTATGTCGTTTAATTTCGTTTCGAACGAAGAGGTGGGGAAAATCCGGGCTCGATCAATTACCTTGTCGATAAGATAAGATGAGTATTGCAGGGAAACTCGTGTAAAAATGGTTAAGGACATATGTACACGTATGACATAGATATCGTAATCGTCAATGATGTTACTGAAAAATGGTGTATTTGTTGCGATAAAATTTCTACAAAACAGTATCACAGTTTGGAGATCGATATTCGTGGCGTACAGAGTAGGAAAATATAAATTATTTACAGGCATGTATCTCGTTGTTACTCGGTGGATCTGCTAGCTTCGCAGAACGCAGGGCGCAGTTTCCAACTCGCGGACTGCCTTTATCCAAGTCTCTAGTCTAGGCGCGCAGACTAGAACGAGGTCACCGAGTCTTCGTTTAGCCATTATCACAAACTCTCCCTGGCCGTGACGCGCGTCGCAGGCAGTCGGTACCCTTACGCGAACGTGCTTGCGATTAGGAGGATCCACGACGTCCACGTCGTTGTTGCTCTGTTTTAAAAAGAATCGCGTTAACAACGTAAACAGATATAGTTCGATCGATTTCATCGACGCTTTGTACACGGGGGAAGAAGTGTCGTATGGAAAGGAAAACGTTACCTCGTTCTCTTCGATCCGATGAAGAATCTTTGTCACCCCGAGAACGAGTTCGGCAGCTTCCAAATCCGGTTGTCTCTGAACGGCGCTGACCGTACCTCTGGCTACCAAATCGCTTTGACAATAAGCCTTGGCCAATTCGTTCATGGTACACGGTCTGCAATCTTCCTCTTCCTCGTCGACGAATCGTCGCGATCTTTCTCGTCGATCGTCGTACAATCGTGACTCCAGATCGTACTGTAGCCTTGCGTCTCGACGATCGTCCGACGCGAGCTCTTCCGCTTCTATGTACAGGGCCGCGGGCTGTTTCTTCACGTGGAAGCATCTATGCGCGGCTTTGTGCTTGCCATCCCTCGGGGAGTACACCGGCCGGAGTTTTCCGTGAGTCTCCAAGTATACTCTTATCGGACCCGAGACCTTGGTGCAAGTACGAAAATCGGCCAGTCGGAAATTCCCGTTGCTGCCGATCGAATTACTGTCGTTCCTTCGAGCAGCGTCTTTCGCCCTGGCGAATTGGGTCGGAACCGGAGGCGAGAGAACTACGCGCAGGGCTCCGCGCGGGTAACGCCAGAGCACGGTTCCTCTGGAGCATCGTAGATACACTGGCCGGACGCCTCGGCCGCCTCCTCCGCTGCAACGTGACAAAATAAACGAATGTGTAAAAATGTGTGACGTCCCGAACGTACGTGACGCAAGTTCAGTGGTACAGTACGAGGTTTCTGCGTGCATCTAAAATGCTTTCTGGAATGAATGGAAATAGGTATACGCGTGTCGGAAAGAAATCTGATTGCAAGAGATTCTTGATCCTCTATGTAAAAGAGTGGGCGTTCGACATTTCGAGACTCGAAAGGAATTGTCTGATTATGCGCTTATTGCGTATCAAAAAAAAAAAGAACATGAAATCCTAACAGTAGAAACCGTTTCTGGTTTCTTGTTTACTATACGTGCATAACTGCAACGGACCGTATAATATCATTCGTCAGCTCGTTCTCCTTCTCTCTCTATTTGTCGTGCATGTACGTATAAATCGAATGCCAGTCCATACGATCTTTCTCGAGTTTGCTCGTGTTTGCTCGCTGGACGAGGAGAACCGGTTTCTCCGTAAGTCGGGCGACTGGTTTCGCGCTTAATAAAAGTACACGTTTTCGTTCCCCGTTATCAAGGGGAATTCAAAATGTATGTGTACACGCGCATAGATACGCGCTCGAAAAATCGGGAGGTGAAAAAAGTATAGGATGTTTGCGAATCGTTAAAACAGTCTTCGACGAACGGAAAAGAATTTGTTTAAACTAGATACGCCTTTCCAAGCAAACCGCGTAACGTACCGTGTACAGACAATGTTAGAGAACAGGGAAAAGATCCATTGTTCTTCGTCTGAACGAAAAGGTGAGACAATGGATTTCTTCTCGGTCCCCCTGATAAAAAACAGAAGAAAAAATGTAATAAGCAAGAATACCTCCCGATCCAGTCGCACTGATCGCCAGCTTGGAGTGCGACGTGTTCGTAGGTAGGGGCCGATGACACGACGTTAACAAGTAGAAGAAAAAATAGTAAAAGCACCGGACGGACGACGAACTTGACCGTTCTCATTTTTCGTCAATTCCGGATCGTCCCGACTAAATTCCTAACATCTCTGCTTGGTCAGAGTCGGACTCAACGCGTTCTAAACGTAATCTGATTCTTCGCGGTCGGTATGCAGCAGCAGCATGGTATGTCGCATGGACGTGTCTTCGACATCATCAGCTTCTCTCGGTCGTTTTCCTGGACAGAACGAAGCGAACGCAAACTCCGTTACTTGACGCGTGAGCCGATGGTAGAACTCGCGAAATCCGAGGAACGCGGAGAAATATTTAACGCCTTTAATTTTTCTCGACTCCTCGACGCTTCACTCTCGACTCGATCCAGCGAGATTCGACATCGTGCGCACAGAACTTCTATCTAGACGAACGGAGAGATGAAAACGTCCGGTTGAAACAAAGAAATGTCCAGCCGTCCTTTCACTGGCCCGAACTGTTCACTCCGGTCTCTGCACCGTGTCTCCGCCGTCTCCGGGTCGCGTGATCGTTCGATCACGTATGTATTCACGGACGACGAACGAGAGAATCGAAGAGATCGTGCTCGCGAACTCGCAGAAAGGTGTGGTTGCTCCGGTATACGGCCCATGTACTCGAGCTCGTAACCGCACGCGCGAGAGCTCTGGCTGGCCCCGAACGATTCGATCGCCTACGCGTGCCAACGCCGCGCGTTTACACGCATAACTCGACTCGTGCCCGACTATTTCGGACTGTACATGTTTCGTCGCTTTCTCTCTAGCCAGCTTCTACGTCTTTTACTCCGCTCGTTATATAGAGTCCACTACAACTGAGGTCGACTCGTTTTACCTCGACTCGCTCCGTCTGGTCCGTCGACTCTCGCCCTTCTTTCCCCTCCTGTACCCGGCGGCCCGTTCCCGAGTTCCGAACGCCTTTGTCACGTCTCTGCTCTTTCGCTCCTTTCCTTCCCGTTTCCCCACTACGCGTTCCTTACTTTTAAATCCACCGCGACAACAGATCGTATCGCCCGTTACGTTCGCTTCGAAAATCTTTTCCGGAATTTCAAATTCGGAGAGAGTGCAGCTAGTTATAAATTTTCGTGCAACGTCGACTTAAACCTAATTCCTTGCATTCTGTAATCGTTACGTTTGTCGTGCCAATGAATCGAGACATTTGACTCGTTGCTTGGCATCGATCATGTAGATCAGTTCTCTCTTCATGTCGTTCGACCTGTAAAAGAAGAAGAACACCGAGGACTCTAGACCTTGAGCAGTAAATCTGAGAAGGACGGTCGAACGTGATTTCTTACGCTTCTCTGCGAAAGGTTTGCCGGTTCACGTATCCTGGAACGGTTTGCTCGGGGCAAGGATCGTAGGATCGTATGCCTAAACTCTTCATCGCGGTCTTATAATCGTCCAATGATAAGAGATCCGAGCCACAAGGAGCCACGTTCTTGAACATCGCGTCGACATGCCTCGAGATGGAAGAAATATGGGAAATGAAGATGAGCGTCAAAGGGAATGGAACGTTCTACGATACTTACGTTCGTTCCCTTTTCGCTTACTTTTCTGTCCATAGTAATCGGGGATTCTTTAATCCCGCTCTAAATAATATCAAGTCGTCGATCAGTCGGTTCAGATACTGGACGGGATCTTCCGGTTGATCAACGATGATATGACAGAGGAGGAAATGGAACGTATCGTAAATGTTGTTCTCAGTGAAATAATTTTTTTCTTTGGGCGTCGCGTATATTGCGTTGTCCTGAGACAAATTGGTACGCGAATCAAAACGTCGAACGTGAGTCAAAACGACGTCGTGAAACGTAATGGAACGTGATTCACTTACGTGCGAGGTCGAGATCGGTTTACTCTGTCTATATTTAGGGCGAGGGTATTCGTTGTTGCTTTCCATGTTTTCATTTATACGAGTGGTCATTCATTAGGAAAATTAAATAGTAAATGGAGCGACGTGAAATCTGCGAACGATTTGATCTTCTCTTATTTTACCGAGTGTATTTTTCGGCGTGGCGGTGGTACTGCAGTCGAGCGGGAGCCAGAAGAGTCGATAAGGTGAAAGATCTACTCGTACACCTTGTCCGCGCGAAAGGTAGGGATCTACCCAGTTTCATTCCATCGTGACTGATATCACCGAGGAGAGATTACTAGTAATCTCTGTTTCGAGCGTCCTCTCTTTATGAATAATCATCGATTAAACTTAAACTTTAGTGAGATTTGAGAAATAAGGACGTGAATGTGTTTCCTGGTTTTCTACAAACGAACCAAGTTATGCTTCGTCTACTGTTTCTGCGAAACGGAATCAATTGTTTTTCTCAATTTGTTGTAACATTTATCAGCGTCTATGCATACTTAGATTAAATTATTGAAAAATCGGAAGTCATTGGAAATTGTAGTTCTTCATTTGTTAGCGTATCCAAGTCTAACTCATGAATTCAGTTCGGACACTGATTTTAAGTAGCCGTACCTAGGATTGGTCATAGTAATCTCTCCTCGGTGGTGGTACGAAGAATGAAGGTAACGTTCGTCACCTGGTTTTCCAGTCGTTGGCTCGTGCGCCCACGCGCGTCCGTAGCACAGATGGCATCGTAATGCCTCCTTCGGGCTAACGACCGGGGCGTCCGAACGTTTTCGCAATGATTCTCACGCGATTTTCTCTCCTTCACGTATTTTTCGTAGGGGTAGCTACCCTCGCTCTTCTGTTGCAAACGTGCACGTTATCGCGTAAACAATTTCACACTCGTTGACACAGGTCGTATAGAAGTAAAATGTTTTTCAATTTCGAGATTCGATTGAGCAGAAGCGTAGCGAAATACTGTAATTCATATGTTGGTTACTCCGATTTACCAAAAGTGGATCGCACAAACCGAGTGCTTGGAACAAAACTGCACGAGGTACGCTGTTTTACTGTTACCGTTAGCAACAAATTTCAAAGAGAGCGCGGGGGAATCATTTTTCAGCTAAACTCTCGTCGAACCGAATGTACGAAGTACCGAGTGCACGTTGTACAGAGTATGAAAACTATGCGTGTCCAGAATCACTCTGCAAAGCGCAGCGCGTAATTTTCCAATTTGGCTTCGTTTACTCGTCGCGCTGTCCGACCCACAATTTCAAGTTTCTCCCGCGACCGACGCGTCGCTCACAGATTTAACAAACGAAAAACAAACTAATTACCCGAAATCGGGAATTCATTCCTTCGGCGACCCGCGAGAAGTAATAACTAGCTCGAAATCACGTGTCCCTGCCCGCAATTCACGGTTGATCAATCGGCGGCTGAACCACCCCCGCCCGATTTCGAATACTGCCGACACCGGGACCATTGATTTCATGATCAGACGGATGCCGATATATCGTTGCTGTATAATGACAGACTCGCGCCGCGTTCATTTGCCAATCGTCGAATAAACGCGCTCGCTTTTCATGGTTGGCCTCATTTGATTTCATGTTGTGAACGAATATCGCGAAAGGAGTTCGTCGAGGGACACGAATCGAGATACGCCAGAGAGCGACGTCCGACTTATGGCCGAGCTGGACCACTAGTTTCGCTAGAAAGCGACGTCTGACGTATGGCGGGGTCAGACCACTAGTTTCGTGAGCGCGCAGGAATTTTACTCACGTACAACTCCGTGAGCGTTCGCAAAATCGTCCAACGACTATCATTTCATTCTCTATGAGAGATCGCAAACGTCGAAGATCGATTCATTAAAAATCGTATTGGTACACACGTAGATTCAGAATTGGAGCGAAAGATACAATTTTTCATGTTGATCAGTTGTATCGATAAAAATCTGATCTTGTGCCGCTCAGTAATAGTCGATAAGTACGCTCGGCATAATTCCAGAATAATTAGCAATTCCTGGTTACGCGCATAAGAAATATGACGTTCGTAAGATGTACCGTCTACCGAAATTCTTAAAGAACTGCAAGGGTCGTTACAAGTTTCATTTGCACTGGAAGCTGTTACGAAGCATTGTCTCTCGCTTATGGGATCAATAAATCTGTGCGCAAACCGGTATACATCGATTTTCAATTAATTATCACGCGTTATCGCCGCCGTCGCGTCGATTGCCACAAAGGCAGCGTCTAGCTACGTCGGGAGCCGCGTGCATTTGACGGGACGTCGGCTAATCGCTTTCCTCGAATCGCGCCTTTAGTTTGCCACGCCACTCACCTGTCTCTCTCGCGATCCCACGCATTTCGCGCGTGGCGAACGAGCTTTTCACGGTGATGCCAAGAGCCGAGTCGAATCCTCGTTACACAGTTTGATCAACAGCCGCCCGAACTCCTCTGGAGTTACGACGTAGACTCGACGACGATTTGAATATGAATCATTTTTGGCTGACGTGGTGCTCCCGTTTCGATTCTCTCTGAGCAAGTGAAATGAAACGGGTGCGATCCGACTACAAAGGGTTACGAGAGTCAAAGGTGGAAATGGAAAGAGCCGGAACATGAAGCGATCGGGAGAATCCACGGATCAAGGAAAAGGTACCAATCGTCCAGGCAGTATCAATTGATTAAACATGCTCCCAGTCCCAGCGAGTCTCACCCTCCACCGGCACTGCCGATCGAATTTCCTGTTCGACACCGAATCGAAAATAGCCCGCCTGGTGGTGTTCACCTCTGCCGCGTACGATCGTGTCTCAGCGGATCTGGTTAGCCCGGAATCGGGTTGTCCAGTCCAGTCGGTGGTAGGCCCTGAACGCCCGTGTCTACAGACTAATTTCAATACCCTCAGTGGAACGGTAGAAATACTCGGTGAAAGTATTTCGGCCGAGTAGCGCACCGAATTAATTAAACCGATGAAGAGGCTTCTCCACGAGTCACTCGTGTTTTACGAATGAATCGTGAGGGCAGAGGGTGCCGTCCATACTGAGATTTCGTGATGCCTTTATTGACCGTTCTTGTGAACAGACAAAACCATTCGTATTGTACGACTGAGTAAAGTACGACGCTTGCGACGAACTATATTTTCATCCTACTTTGACCATCATCGTGTTTCCCTTCTCGTTCTACGCCTAATCATTTCGCACGGAGAGCACGTTTCAGCGCGCTCCTCGTAGGTGGTGCATCACGGATATGTGGAAACGGGTCTGAGCTCCTTAAGTCGCAACGCGCATCCGCCGGTTATAAGCCGTGGGAAACAGGATTTTGCGCGAAAACTGCAGACTGAAATGGTCCCAATTCCGTTCTCTCTAATGAGCGCGCTGCCGAAGAGATGGTCTCCGATTACTTCGACCGCACAGAAAAGATTTAACTTCCTTCCTCTTCTTAATCTGCGGTAATCGGCGTTCTACTTACTTCTCGGAATTTTTCGTTCACTGCTGTTCGCCAATTTTTCGTTTGAACGAGGTCGATCAGATCCAACGTTCAGACACAGATAATCGTATACTGCAAACTTCTCGTCGGTTTACACTCGGTTTCAAGCGTCGAATGGCACGTAGCAATTTTTTCAAGAGTTTGAAATCCGGAATCGAAACATCCGTCAGCGTTAACGTTTTCATCGTTAAAGCCTCGCGTCAGTTTCGATAATTTCGCTTTAACGGCGAGAGATATCTTGGCGCAGAACGAAAAACGCAGGATGGGACCGACCGAGGGAACGAAAATTTTAATTAAATTCGAGGAGGGCTGCAGTCGCGAAAATTTCTCGTCCCGCGGTCTGCTCGGAATTTCATTACGCCTCCGGCTCTGGGTTTACGAATTTATATCGCACTGTTATGAAAAACGGTGCAGCTACAGAATTTCTTACTGATGAGAATGCTAATAATCCAATTTGAATATTCATCGATGCATCTTCCCTCCTCGCTTTCACGTCGCCCTTCGAGATCTCTCCTGTCAAATTCGGGCAGAATCGGAGCCGGTATCTGTCCCGACTATCGAGAAGATTTTCGCTTTAAACGTATGGACTCACTTCGAGTACAACGGATGATAAATTCTCTGCGTTAACAATAAAGCGAGGAGTAACGATCGGCCGTCACAGGCAGCGTGAGGCTGTTAACGGCTCTCTGGGATTCCGAGGGAGACAAAAATAAAACAGAGACTCGGTCTGTACTCCTTTGTACTGATCTTAAACCGGTTATCCCCAGAAAAACGAGCAGACCGTCCCGGTTAATATTTCACCGCGTTAGCCGACGCGGATTACTCATGGGGCCTCTCACGGTGGTAGGTCGGACGTCGAGGCTTCCGGCCCCCAAGAGTGGCAATCGTCGATAAAACGGAATTACCCGACCCGTTAATAATCGAAACTCGCGAGTGTATTTACTCGCGGGACGTTCACCGGTGAATTATATAAACGCCGTCGCTTCGTTCGAACTCCTCTGTGACACGATGGTTTACCGTTGACTGAAGAAGTTTCTTTTATAATAGATCGACCACTTCACCGATCGAACATCTTCCTCCCGTCGTCAACGTCGTTCGGTATACGAATCGGGTCGTTGATGATCGGATGATCTCTGTATCAGATTCCGATGGCGAATGATCGCCTTCTACTTTACATATTTCCTCGGAAGACGATTTCCGTCAGGTCTGTGAATTTAACGATGGAACGTGATACGCGGTCGGGAAAAACGCGAAGGCGAGTCGGTTCGATTTTCCGACTCCGGCGGCACCTCGCCAACGAACTTTCCCCCTCGCAAAAACTTCCGGGCATTACGGGATAATTATCGAAACCTGCTGCCTGTTCCCTGAACCCGGAACTATCATAAAAATTGCCGCGTTTCATCGCGTCCACCTCGCGGAAACATTGCCCGAGTCTGGAATGGGAACTCCACCGCGATTCGCATCGCGTCTGATCACGATTCTTTTTATCGTACTTACATTTATGAATTAACAGATGAAACGATACGTCGACGAGTAGTAGTATCGTACGCGACATTGGAACGCGAGGAAGAGCTCTGACGAGGCAGGTTTTTGTTTCGGTCGACGCGACCGCAGAATGGGCAATATCTGCCGTCGCCGTGACGCGTCCCGGGGATTTATCAACCCCGTTCGTTCGACAGGCGGGAAAATAATGAAGTCACCGTGGCGGTGGTGGCGGGTCTCGGTCCGGCCAGAAGTGCCCGCTTTTCGTTTACATCTGCATATTTAAATCGAAGCTGCTCATCGAACGGCTGCACGATTCGGTTTTCGAAAATGTCCATTACGTGACG